AAAAAACCTTTCCCGTTTCTGTGCACTCTGGTTTAGCTCATAATCTCAACTTGATTCCAGCTGGTTATATAATAGCATCTAGACTTCTGTATAAACAAAATACTCATTAATAGTAATAAAAGCTGGGGCACCTGGGTGGTTCAGTCATTGAGTGTCCGCCTTCAGCTCAAGTCATGATCCCAGGGTCCCAGGATGGCCCTCGTTGGGCTCCCTGCTCAGCGGGAAACCTGCTTCTTCCTCTCCCATTCTCCCAGCTTGTGTTCCCTCTCTGGCTGTCTCTCTCTGTGTCAAATGAATAAATAAAATCTTTTTTAAAATAAAAATAAAAAAATAAATACCCATAAAAATAGTAATAAGAGCTACCATATAATGATCGCTTATTTTGTTCCTGGTACAAGGCAAAGATCTTAAAACTATGATCTCATTTAAACTTCATAACAACCCTATGAATACTGTTACTGGCACATTTTACAGTGCTGAAACAAGTTTACAGTTGTTAAGAAACTTGCCCAAGTAATCACATCTGGAAGGTGCTAAAGCTGAGTTTTGAACCCAGACATTTGGCTTCAGAACTCCTATGTACAACTACTATATTTCTTCCTTAAAAAAAAAAAAGAGGATATTATATTGTTTAAGATTTTATTTATTTATTTGGCAGAGAGAGAGAGAGAACAACGGGGGGAAAAGTAGAGGGAGAAGGGAATGGAGAAGCAGGCTCCCTGCAGAGCAGGGAAAGCCCAATAGTGGTGCTTGATCTTGATCCCAGGACTCAGGAATCGTGACCTGAGCCGAAGGCAGTGGCTTAACCAGCTGAGCCACCCAGGCGCCTCAAACTACTATATTTCAATATATTTCAATACTCTTCACTCAAGAAATAAGAAAACTGTGAACAGTTTCGAAACAGCAAATTCTCCCATTTCTAGCTGCTAATTTTTCAGAAATCTTGGGAGTCTAAACTTTGGACACTAATCCAGATATTTTTCCCATAGACAAGAAAAAAACTCTTGGTATTTATTTCAAGTCTGTATAATCTACATGCAGTACATTCATTCAAAAATTATGTCCCAGAAAGTACATTTCATAAAGAGGGGACAAAATGGACAAGTCACTGTCTTCATGGCTTTTGCATCCCAAAGTTGTCTGGTTCATTCATAAAAGCATGCAACTTGGGGCACCTGGGTGGCTCAGTACTTAGGCGTCTGCCTTTAGCTCGGGTCATGATCCCAGGGTTCTGGGATTGAGCCCTGCATTGGGCTCCCTGCTCAGTGGGAAGCCTGCTTATCCCTCTCCCACTCCCCTGGTTGTGTTCCCTCTCTCACTGTCTCTCTCTCTCTGTGTCAACTAAATAAATAAAATCTTAAAAGAAAAAAAAAGATCATGCAATGTTTGATCTCAGGGTTGTGAGTTTAACCCCCCTGTTGAGTGCAGAGATTATTTTAAAAACGTAAATTTGGGGCACCTGGGTGGCTCAGTGGATTAAAGCCTCTGCCTTCGGCTCAGGTCATGATCCTGGGGTCCTGGGATTGAGCCCTGCATCGGGCTTTTCTGTTCCTCTCTATGCCTGCCTCTCTCTGCCCACTTGTGATCTGTCTATCAAATAAATAAATAAAATCTTAAAAAAAAACCTTATAAAAAACGTAAATTTAAGGGACGCCCTGGGTGGCACAGTTAAGCCTCTGACTCCTGGTTTCTGCTCAGGTCCTGATCTCAGGGTGGAGATATTGAGCCCCAAGTCAGGATCTGCTCTCAACGTTCAAGAGTCTCCTTGAGATTCTCCCTCCCCTTCTTCCCTTCCTGTGTCCTCTCTCTAAAATAATAAATAAATAAAAATTTTTTAAAAAGATTTCATTCATTTATTTGACACAGAGATAGATCCAGAGAGCACAAGTCGGGGGAATGGCAGAGGGAGAAGCAGGCTCCCTGCTGAGCAGAGAGTCCTATGCCAGACTCCATCCCAAGACCCTGAAATAATGACCAGAGCCAAAGGCAGATACTTAACCAACTGAGCCACCCAGGCACCCCAAATGAATAAATCTTAAAACAGGAACAACTTGGGAGTACCTGGTGGCTCAGTCCATAGAGGATACGACTTGTGATCTCTGGGTTGTAAGTTCTCTTGATCTCAGGGTTGTAAGTTCAAGCCCCACTTGGGTGTAGAAATTACTTAAAAATAAAATCTTTGGGTTATGAGGGAAATACAGATCAAAACCACAATGAGATACCCTCTCACACCAGTCAGAATGGCTAAAATTAACAAGCCAGGAAATGACAGATGCTGGCGAGGATGCGGAGAAAGGGGAACCCTCCTACATTGTTGGTGGGAATGCAAGCTGGTGCAACCACTCTGGAAAGCAGCATGGAGGTTCCTCAAAAATTGAAAATAGAGCTACCCTATGACCCAGCAATTGCACTACTGGGTATTTACCCTAAAGATAAAAATGTAGTGATCCGAAGGGGCACATGCACCCGAATGTTTATAGTAGCAATGCCCACAATAGCCAAATTATGGAAAGAACCTAGCTGTCCATCAACAGATGAATGGATAAAGAAGATATGGTGTATATATACAATGGAATACTATGCAGCCATCAAAAGAAATTAAATCTTACCATTTGTGATGACGTGGATGGAACCAGAGGGTATTATGCTTAGCGAAATAAGTCAGTCGGAGAAAGACAACTATCATATGATCTCCCTGATATGAGGAAGTGGAGATGCAACATGGGGGGTTTAGGGGTTAGGAAAAGGATAAATGAAACAAGATGGGATCGGGAGGGAGACAAACCATAAGAGACAATCTCACAAAACAAACTGAGGGTTGCTGGGGGGAGGGGGGTTGGGAGAGGGTGGTGGGGTTATGGACATTGGGGAGGGTATTATGCTATGGTGAGTGCTGTGAAGTGTGTAAACCTGATGATTCACAGACCTGTACCCCTGGGGCTAAAAATACATTATATGTTTATTAAAAAATAAAAAAATAATAATTAAAAAAAATCTTTGGGTTATGGACATTAGGAAGGGTAAGTGATATGGAGAGTGCTGTGAAGTGTAAGCCTGACGATTCACAGACCTGTACCCCTGGGGCAAATAATACATTATATGTTAATAAAAATAATTAATAAAAACATTAAAATCATAATGGGGGCTTCTGGGTGACTGCCATTTAAGCATCTGCCTTCAGTACCTGTCATGATCCCAGGGTCCTTGAAATCATCCCCAGGTCCGGCTCCCTGCTCATCAGGGAGCCTCCTTCTTTCTACTCCTCTCCACTGTGCTCTATCTCTCTCTCAAACAAAATCTTAAAAAATAAGATAAAAATTTAAAAACAACATTCTGAGGGATCATCTATACATTATGGATAATGATATACAGGGTTCCGGTGAGAATAAAATACACTTATACTTGGTTGTTTTTGTTTGTTTGTTTGTTAAGATTTTATTTCTTTTGGGGGCATCTGGGTGGCTCAGCTAGTTAAGCAGCTGCTTTCAGCCCAGGTCACCATCCCAGCATTCTGGGATCGAGGCCAGCATGGGGCTCCCTGCTCAGCAGGGAGTCTGCTTCTCCCTCTCCCTCTGCTTCTCTCTTTCTCCTCAAATAAATAAATAACACCTTTTTTAAAAAGAGAGATTTTATTTGTTTTGAGAGAGAGAAGAAAGTGAGCACGAAGCGGGGGAGGGGCAGAGGAGAAAAGCTGACTCTCTGCTCAGCAGGGAACCTGATATGGGGCTCCATCCCCTTACCCTAAGACAACCCCTTAACGGACTGAGCCACCCGGGCACCCCTACAATTGTGCTTGCAAAGCGCTTAGACAGTGGCTCACACATAGTGAGGGCTCAATAAATGTTAGATATTATTAGTATGTTTTACTAAGAACTGAACCGCTGGGGATATAAAAATAAATACGCTCAGTTTCTTAAGATTGAGAAGAGGGAAACGGATATAACGGACTTAACGGCAAAATGTCAAGCACTGGGGAGGGCCTCAGCACTGTTAAAAGGTTGAGAGATGATAATGCCTGCGCTGGATATTGAGGAATGGAGAGTTTTGCCATGTGATAGTGTATTAGCTAGTCTTTAGCTGGCTGGCTCCAGAGGGGTAAGAAGGGGACGGGGTGGGGGTGCGGGGTGGAGGGCTAAAGGAAGATAAATCTAATAAAGCAGGTTGAGAATCGATGGACTAGACTGGGTAAGCTCCTGTACCCCATCGCAATAATTTAGGATTTTTCCTCCTATGCAGTATAACGTCTAGTGATTTTTTTCCAGCTGATAAGACTTTACAAAAGCATAAAGACCCACTATTTTAGGGCGCCTGGGCGGCTCAGTCTGTTAAGCGGCTGCCTTCGGCTCAGGTCATGATCCCAGATCCTCGGGTCGAGCCCCGCCCGCATCGGGCTCCTTGTTTCAGTGGAAAGCCTGCTTCTCCCTCTCCCTCTCCCTCTCCCTGCGGCTCTGCCTACTTGTGCTCTGTCAAATAAATCAATAAAATCTTAAAAAAAAAAAAAAACCCACTCTTTTATTTAGTGTTCAACGTCATACCCAAAGTAAGCCACAATAATCAGGACGAAAGTCTAGAAAAGGCCTGAAATGCAGCACAGCTTCCCAAAGGCCAAAACAAAACAATATAGCCAACAGCAAGCCGAGAAGAGGGACAAGATGGAGGACGACGCGATGAAGAAAAGACTTCGCAAAAGACGCATGGGTGGAGTCCGACGTAAGGGAAAGTCATTCTAACTCAGGCCCTTCCGCGCTATTGGCCTGACTCTGACTCTTTTTCCTTTTCCATTGGCTCCTGGCTCCTTCGATGGATCAAAACAGCCAATCGCCTAGCACCGTGGGTAAAGCCCGCCCTTCCTCTCTGAGGGGAGTAGCCAGAAGAGCGTAGAGGACCCAAGGCGCTTGCGCGGGCGCGCGCTCCGCCGGTTAAAAGCAGATTCTCTCAGGAGGCGGTGTCGCGGTCCATGAATATTGATTACGCAGCGCCGAGCCGAGCGCCCGCCCCTCTCGGCTGGCCGACGCTCGCGGCTCGCGCTCGAGCTCGCGATGGGGAAGAAGTCCCGGGCGGTACCCGGCCGCAGGCCCATCCTGCAGCTCTCTCCGCCGGGGCCCCGAAGCAACACGCCGGGCAGGGATCCGGAGCCGGAACCCGACACGGAACCGGACTCGACGGTGGCGGCGCCCAGCCAGCCAGCTCCGGCGGCGCCACCGCCAACTACGACGACGACGACCACGGTGACTGCTGCCGCCGCGGCCCCGGACGACTCTCCTTCAGAAAGTAAAGGTGCGCGAGGGGCCCCGACACTTAGGTGGGGAGTCCGAAACTCGAGCTCGGGGCTTGCGGCCTACGGCGAGGGCCGTGGGAGGAGGAGAAATCCAGGCCGGGGGTGGGGGGGCTTCCTGCACATCCGAGGCCTGCTGCGTGGGGCCCGAGAGGAGGACCGCTGTGGGCCCCGGGGCCGCGCAAGGGCCAGCGGCGCCGTGCGCGCCCGCCCGGCTGACCGAGAGGCGCCATCTCTGGTGCGGGGCTCGGCCTGGCATCCCGAGTCTCCTTGATGTGCAGTCTCGGCTTTGCATAACTTACGGATATTTGTGAAAGTACGAGCTTCTCGTCCGAGGCCTCGTGACCGGGAACCTGGCCTTCCAACACACGTCATGTGTTTTTCCCTTCGTTTTTGTCAAAACCGAGAGGGACCCTCTAGAAGGCAGCAAACCCATTTTATTGTAGCCCCCAAATTCCTTTAGAAGTGAAACTGGTGCGTTCCCGAGTACTTGTTTGTTCCCAGAATGGTCTTGGATTAAGAGTAACTGCAGCGCTGCTGCGGGAGCCAGATGCCCGAGAAGCCGCGACCGTTTCAGGCGCTAAAAAATCCCGTTGGGTAGTGCCTGCGCGGTGTGGGGAGGGGCGGCGGGTAGCTATAGCCGTGTTGTCGTAAAGGCCCGGTGGTAGCCCGGAGATTTATTGTGTGTTTATTTTTAAACGTTTAAATTATTTCAGATGCATTTCATGTACCATAATCATATTTTTAATGTTAAAGTCACGTGGAAGAGGCCAGTTCTGCTTGTTTATCGTCTCCCGATTATTTGGGTCAGGGATGAATTTACACACCCTGTTTTCAAATTGGTGAAATAGAGACTGGGAAGGTCAAATCGAAGATTGTTTGGTCATTCGTAGTGTTTTCTCTGGTCCATTGGCACACTGGTTTTCTTTTGTTCTTTTTTTAAAATCCAGATGAGCAGGAAGTGGTGGTGGAGGTTCCCAGAGTTCCGAATCCTCCCAAACCAGTCATGACCACCAGACCTACAGCCGTTAAAGCAACAGGTACAATTTTTTTTTTCATGTTTTCTACAAGGTCTTTCATTAAGATCAAATTGGGTTTGTATATATTTTGTTGAATGCTTCAGTGTCGCAAATTTACTGTTCTCCCATAAATGGAAATTTAAAATTTTTGAAAATGAAAGTAAAATTTTTCTGAGGGCTTGCTGGTATATACACATTAATCAAAGCAAAATTTGTTGTTGCTTTTTCTCTGTACCCAAGATACTTTGTACTGCTTTTCTTCTAATGCTGTTTGGTAGTTTTCTGGCTCGCCTGCCAGCTTGGTGTTCTTCAGAGACCTCAGGGATGTCTTTCATTCTGTGCATTTCTTCTTCAGCACAGTGCTTTGAGGTACCTAGTGAATACTTTTGGAGCTGAAAATTGCCCTTATTAAATATTTTTTTTTAGCATTAAGGAATATTCAGATATACAGGAAATGCCAAGAATGTTAGTTTTCTCCATTCTTTATATGTCTTGAAAGATCAAAACACGTTTCGTACTATGCATCTAATAATTTTATTCTTTTAAGTTTGGAGGTTTCTGTATGCTATATTAATACACCTGAAATAATAGATGCTTGTTCCTCTCTGCTTCCATTTGCCACTTCAAAAAAAAAGTTGTTAAAATGTTTTTATAATACAGTAGAGCAAGCATATCTAATACTTTTATGCAGAAGAACATTAGGGTAATATGCATATGAAATTCTCTAAGGAGAAATTCAGAGTAGCCTCTGAAATTAGATCAGTAGACTACTATGATTCTTTTAGCCTATTGATTGTTAATGGTTTCTATGACCAAAAGAATTAAAACTGTTTAAATGTTATAGTTACTAGAAATAAGACACAGTTACTGTTTGAAACTTAAAAGTAAGGTATACACCTAAGAAATAATTTTCCACCTAATGTAGATTGATTTGCAAATGGTGCTTATGGAGGTTTGAACAGTCAGCATCCCTCTCAAAAAAAAAAAAAACAACAAAACTGCTAAGGACTATGGCTCTGAAGAATGTCCTTGCTTCCTCTGGTTTTAAGTAGAAACAACATCTCAGTAGTAGTCTGGAGTAGGTCCCATGAGGTTTGTTTTGTTGTTGTTGTTTTTTTTTAATTAAGTAATTTTACATAGTACTTAGGACTTTTTTCAGTGTTATTCTAAATTCATGCCTGTTCCTTATCAGTGATGAACTAAATTTCATGTGATTAGAACTTACATGCATTTCACAACTTGCTTTTATCTTGCTTTTATTCCTTTAGCATTACTTTCTGTCCCCTTAGCATTATTTCATGTAATCTTATAATGATCTGATTAATCATGAATTAGTACTGCATCAGGTACTGTGCTGTAATTTGCTTTATGAGTCCCCTGAGAGCATTTGAGTTGTTCATAGCTTTATTTACTTAATAAAGCTGTAGAATCCTTGTGTGAAAAAATTTTTGAGTTATTTTGGGGGTTATACTCTGAAAAATGGGATTATGTAGCTGAAAGAAACTTGAAGAGTTTTGTGGGTCTTGGTATATGTAACCACATTATTCTTAAGAAATAATTTATGTTGTCTCTACAGTATTAAGTATGCCTATTTCCCCAATATATTGGGTTTAATCATTTTCATTTATTTTGCTGTTTAACAGTCATTATGTTATTAGCTTGAAAGAGGTTTGATGTGTGTACTGTGAAAAGCTCTGAGGTAAAAAAGGAATAGGTGGGCCTTGGCTAAACCTCTCGCCTGTGAGACCAACTTTCTGAGTCTGGGGAACTACCTACCCCTGCTTGAAGAATTTTGTAATAAAAATTCCATGCAGCTCATCTGGTTGGAACCTTTTACCAAAGGATGTGGAATTAAGGCTAATGATCTAGATGATTATATATATAATTTCCTGTAGGAAGTATTTATAAATTTCCCACCCTCCCCCCCCATCACCCAGAAACCAGTGCTGAATACTAAAGTGCAGATTCTTTTCATACGCAAAAGCTTCTTTTCGTATTACTACCCTTACTGGGCTATTACCTCTTATCAGAAAATCAGGAAGGTTGATGGACATGCCACAAAATGATGAGAAATAAAATACTTGGTAATTGGAAAATGGAGAACTGTCAGATGTCCACTTAAAAATCTTCCTAATCAGAAAAAATTTAGTATATGTGCTGCCGAAGCGAGCACGCTAATCAGAAAAAATTTAAAGAAAATAAAAATCTTCCTAATCAGTTTTAAATATTTTAGAAATTGGTATTTAGTACAAGAACTTATAAAAATAATGAAGGCAAGATGTATATGACTAAAGCAATGAATATGAACTATGATAAATAAAAGGAACTTTTATTTTTAGGTGATTTCATGAATTCATTTATGGAATTATGGTAAAACTGTATTTTACTTCCTGATGAGTCTGTTCATTTACCAAATATTTATTGAGAACATAGAATGTTGCCAGGTACTGGGAAATTTATCTTACTGATAGCTGAAAAGTTTAGGTGGTGTTTAACATTTAATGTACTTATAATGAAATGATCTATAAAAAGAATATATATGCTTGTTTAATTGTAACAGAGTTGCCACAGGTAGAACAAAAGGAAATGGCGTACATAGCAGCATCACAGAGGCCATACCTGATACGTCTTGAGTTTGAGGAAGACATTGGTGATAAGTTGCTGGGTTTTTGTTGTTTGCTTTGATTCTAGCACTTAGAATTCCATTATTATTTGTTGCTTCTTGTTTGAGGAAAAATCACTAAAGAAAGATTTTTAGTTTAAAAATCTCTTTGTTTCATCTACTAAACCCTAATTGGCTTGCTTATTTGGGATGGACACATAAAGCAACACATTCTAAAATCAAGATTTACCATTTGCTATTTTGACAGAGTATGAGGTTGAATGATTGTGTATTTTGAGAAGGATATCAAGCAGCTATGTGAATGATTTTATTAGCTCTAAGCATAATGTAATTTAAATCTCTCTGTGGTAGTTCAGTGATGATTTATTTTGAGGTTGTGGTCTAATCTGTAAGTAGAGTAAATGTAAACTCTGACTGAAGAACCATGTCATATTCTTTTTTGACTACTTCTTGGGGCATCCTGGCATTGTTATTAACACTGTTTACCATTTTGCTTCTAGGAGGTCTGTGCTTACTTGGTGCATATGCTGACAGTGATGATGATGAGAGTGACGTTTCAGAAAAACCAGCACAGTCTAAAGAGGCAAATGGAAACCAGTCAGCTGATATTGATAGTACACTGGCCAACTTCCTAGCGGTTAGTGGTGCTTTTGTTTGGGTTTTTAATTATTGAAGCCACTTTGGGACCTGGATCTCAAGTGATTAGCCTACTTTTTTGTCAGACTCAGTGTTTCCCACTCCCTTCTTTTCCCCTTCTATCTCTCTTCCTTAGTCCCTCCCCACTGTTCTCTTCTCTTTTCTTTCTGTAAAGGTTGTAAGGAGGAGAAAAACGGAGAATTACAGGGTTTGAGGAACTTTTATGTAGTTGGGAGATGAGAGTTTTGATTCGAGAAGCTGAAAACTGTGTAGAACCTTTTTTTAAAAGATATCATTTATTTATTTGACACAGAGAGACAGCAGGAGAGGGAACACAGGCAGGGGGGTGGACTTTCTACTGAACAGGGAGCCCAGCTCAGAGCTCAGACCCAGGACCCTGGGATTATGACCTGAGCCAAAGGCAGATGCTTAACAACTGAGCCACCCAGGTGCCCCCTAGAATTTTTTTATAGTGGTTGTCATCTTCAGTTTTCTGGTTTTGAGGTTATTAATGCATTTGTTAATGTTTTTATTCTAAAGGAGATTGATGCTATAACAGCTCCTCAGCCTGCAGCTCCTGTAGGAGCTTCTGCTCCACCTCCAACTCCACCTCGACCAGAGCCAAAGGAATCAGCAACATCTGCGCTATCTTCTACTACTTCAAATGGAACAGACACAGCTCAAACTGCAGGGTGGCAATATGATACTCAGTGTTCACTAGCAGGAGGTAAGTGGGATCCTTTGGGGGTTTTTGTTTGTTTGTTTTTGATCTTTTATTTTACTTACTTTTTAATTTTTTTAAAGATTTTATTTATTTATTTAACAAGAGAGACAGCAAGAGAGGGGACACAAGCAGGGAGAGTGGGAGAAGGAGAAGCAGGCTTCCTGCAGAGCAAGGAGCCCAACACAGGACCCAGGGATCAGGACCTGAGCTGAAGGCAAATACTTAATGGCTGAGCTACCTGGGTGCCCCTATTTTTTATTTTTAAAATATTTGTCAATGAGAGAGTATAAGCAGGCAGTGGCAGTGGGCGAAGCAGGCTCCCTGCTCAGCAAGGAGCCTAATGCAGGACTCAGGCCCAGGACCCTGGGATCATGACCCGAGCCGAAGGCAGCCGCCTGACTGACTGAGCCTCCTAGGCATCCCTGATCCTTTGATTTTTAAAGAAATCTAAAGTGCAATTTTTTAAAGGTGTTCTAGGCATTGACATTGCAAAAGATGAAAACCCCTATGCTTTAGCCCCAGACTTTAGGATTGTGGTCTTTTAAGTTCATTGTTTGTTTGTTTGTTTTTAAAGCAATGGGTTTGTGTGTGTGTGTGTGTGTGTGTGTGTAAGATTTTAATTTATTTATTTGACAGATCACAAGTAGGCAGAGAGGCAGGCAGAGAGAGGGAAGCTTTCTTAAATTCTGCATGAGTGAAATCATATGTTATTTGTCTTTCTCTGACTGACTTTGCTCAGCATTATACTCTCTAGCTCTGTGTTGGGAATCAGCAAGATTTCATTCTTTTTTATGACTGTGTAATATTCCATCATGTATATATACCACCTTCTTTATTTATTGATGGATTCTTGGGCTGTTTCCATAATTTGGTATTATAAATAATGCTATAAACATAGAGGTGCATAGTATCCTTTTGAAATAATGTTTTTGTGTGTTTTGAATAAATACCCAGTGGTGTGATTACTAAATCATAGGGTAGCTCTATTTTTAATTTTTTGAGGAACTTCCATACTATTTTCCACAGTGGCTGCACCAGTTTACATTCCTACCAATAGTGTAAGAGGGTTCTTTTTTCTTCACATTCTCACGAACACCTATTCCTTATTTTTTTTTTTAAGATTTTATTTATTTATTTATTTGACAGACGTCGCAAGTAGGCAGAGAGACAGACAGAGAGAGAAGGGAAGCAGGCTCCCTGCCGAGCAGAGAGCCCGATGTAGGGCTCTATCCCAGGACCCTGAGATCATGACCCGAGCCAAGGCAGAGGCTTAACCCGCTAAGCCACCCAAGCGCCCCATATTCCTTATGGTTTTTAGCCATTCTGACGTGTGGGGTGATACCTTGTTGCAGTTTTTTTGTTTTTTATTTTTTTTTCTTTCAAGATTTTATTTATTTGATAGAGACTCAGTGAGAGAGGAAACACAAGCAGGGGAAGTGGGAGAGGGAGAAGCAGGCTTCCTGCTGAGCAGGGAGCCTGATTCGGGGCTCGATTCCAGGACCCTGGGATCATAACCTGAGCTGAAGGCAGACACTTAACGATTAAGCATCCCAGGCGTCCCTGTCTCGTTGTAGTTTCGCATTTCCCCGATGATGAGTGATGTTGAGCATCTTTTTATGTGTCGGCCATCTGTATGTCATCTTTGGAGAAATGTCTGTTCATCTCTTCTGCCCATTTTTATTTTATTTTTATTTTTTAAAAAATATTTTATTTATTTATTTGACAGAGATCACAAGTAGGCAGAGAGGCAGGCAGAGAGAGAGAGAGAGAGAGAGAGAGAGGAGGAAGCAGGCTCTGCCGAGCAGAGAGCCCAGTGTGGGGCTCCATCCCAGGACTCTGTGATCATGACCCAAGCCGAAGGCAGAGGCTTTAACCCACTGAGCCACCCAGGCGCCCCACTTCTGCCCGTTTTTAATTGGATTATTTGGTTTTTAGGTGTTGAGTTATGCAAGTTTTTCAATATATTTTGGGTACTAACCCTTTATCGAATATGTCATTTGCAAATACCTTCCCCCATTCAGTAGGTTTTTTAGTTTTGTTGATTAGAAATTTGTGTTTTAAAATTTGTTTTATTTTCTTTTAGTTGGAATTGAGATGGGAGATTGGCAAGAAGTCTGGGATGAGAACACAGGATGCTATTATTATTGGAACACACAAACAAATGAAGTGACTTGGGAATTACCCCAGTATCTTGCTACCCAGGTACAGGGAATACAGCATTACCAACCCAGGTAAGAATATACTTGAAAAAGAAATTACTTAAGAAGGAAGTTAGAGTTTTATCTTTTGTTGATAATATTTGCCTTCTGTTTCTCTTGCTAAGTATATATATACGTGTGTATGTGTGTATATATATATTTTGTTTGTTTTTAGTTCTGTAACAGGTGCTGAAGCTAATTTTGTGGTTAATACAGACGTGTATACTAAGGAGAAAAATGTTTCTGTTTCCAGTAGTAAAAGTGGACCAGTCATAGCCAAGCGAGAAGTTAAAAAGGTCAGTTTCATGACTTATTTGCTTATTTCAAATCTAAAGAACTTGACTTATTTTTGCACAGGTATAGACATCTTCTGTTATTATTTTACAACCAGATGTGAAAATAAATAAATGCTGATTCTTAAAGCTTTACTTAATGTTTATATTTAAGATGTAGCATTTATAACAGTTGTCCAGTTTAGTGGTTCTTTTGGAACTTTAGGGTACCGCCGAGGTTCATTGGGTCATTGTGAAGGATGGGGGAGCAGCAGGCAGGGCTTCAGATCTCCTTTTCCACTGCAGAATAGCTCTATTTTGGGAACCCCACGTAAGTTTTTTGTTTTTGGGTTTTTAAAGATAAGCTGCCATAAAAATTAAAATCTATTATTAGTAAAATAAGCATTTCTATAGCCTCGTAAGACAAAAGTAAGTTATATTCTGTAGTGTGTGTGTGTGTGTGTGTTGAATTTTAATTTATCTTGAATTTTAAATGATGAATTTAAATGGGGAGTATGGTAAGTATTTTCATGGGGTTCTTGACTGACTCAAGTAAGTAGAGGATGCAGCTCTTGCTCAGGGTTGTGAGTTCAAACTCCATGTTGGGTGTGGAGCCTCCTTAAAAATAAACACACACACAAATACACACATACTTTTAGAATAATTTGGTCTTTATAATAGAAGGGACATAGACTAAATATTACCCCACTGAAGGAAATGGGCACTTTAAGTTTAATCACACGTTTCATTTTAGAATTATTTTACTTTCCTCTAAATCACCTTTCTAGTGTGCCTGTGAAGTTATGTCATTATACAGAAGGGTGGAGATTATCTAGTTATATGTTGAGGTGACAAAACTTTTTCTTTTTTAAAGCAGACTTACTCTTTTGCCATCTGAATTGTTTTTAGTTTTGGAGGCAGAGCAATGGGTGATAGAAAGGTGGGCAGTTTAAGGAGGGCTGGTGAGTGGTAGAGACAGGCAGAAGTATATAGAAAATCTGAAAAAGGTGAACAGAGGATGAAGACCAAAACTAAGATTCCGGAAAGGTAGCTGCCTAGCTCCCAATTTCATCATCCTGTACCAACCTGTCTTTCTCATTTGATGTCTTGTGATCAGTTCCTTTTCTGACACAAACTGGTTTCTGGAAAGGGAATCCTTTCTGTTTTGGAGGTTACTGATCTAAATTACAGGTCTGCCTCAAGGATGTGTGGAGCAAGGGTGACCATTAATTTGTATACTTGAAGTTCAAGGCAATGTGGCCTACTTCTGGAAAGACCTGGATTCTTTTTACTCCTGATTGGGGGAAAAACCCAGCCTTGGCAGGGCCCAGATAGAGTACAGAAGGCAGATGGGCGCTGGGTTCAGGAGAAGGAACTGAAAGACTAGTTGTTTCAGTTGTCATCTGACTCTCCTTTACTGCCCCTCTGGAAACTGACAGAGGATGGGGCTCTGGCAGGAACAGCAGGTGGTCTTGGCTTGGCCCTCTGACTAATGAGAACTGCAGACAAAGGGCCTGACAGGTAGACTGAGAGTCAGTGATTGGCAACTGACAAAACTCAGATCTTTAAAAAAAAAAAAAAAAGTGGGGGGTGCCTGGGTGGCTCAGTTGTTAGGCGTCTGCCTTCGGCTCAGGGCATGATCCCAGGGTCCTGGGATCGAACCTCGCATTGGGATCCCTGCTCAGCAGGAAGCCTGCTTCTCCGAGACTCTGTTACTCCCCCTGCTTGTGTTCCCTTTCTCGCTGTGTCTCTGTCAAATAAATAAAATCTTAAAAAAAAAAAAAAAAAAACACCTCAGATCTTATTTCATTTTAAAATTCTGCTTCTGGTAACCTGGCTTTAGACTTGAAGAATAAGGATATGTATGAATCCCACCCAGAACTAGGTTCTAGTTCAAATGCTGCTTTCTTAAAGTAAGATATTTGTATTATATTCATGTGAGGAAAATTGTACAAACATATTACTAATCTGTTGGTAGCCAGTGGCTTTTAAGACTATCCAGTAGTAGGGGTGCCTGGGTGGCTCTGTCAGTTGAGCTTCTGCCTTCAGCTCAGGTCATGATCCCAGGATCCTGGGAACGGGCCCCGCATCAGGCTCCTTGCTCTTCGGGGAGCCTGCTTCTCGCTCTCCCTTTGCCTGCCACTCCCCTGCTTGTGTGCGTGCACACTCTCTCTCTCAAATAAATAAAATAAAATTTAAAAAAATCCAGTGATTGGGGGTACCTAGGTGGCTCAGTTGGTTAAGCGTCTGCCTTTGGCTCAGGTCACAATACCAGAGTTCTGGGATCAAATCCCACATCAAACTCTGCCTAGCAGGAAGTCTGCTTTTCCTATTCCATCTGCCCTTCCCCCTGCACAAGCTTTCTCTCCCTCCCTCTCTTTCTCGCTCTCTCAAATAAATCTTAAAAGAGAATATCCAGTGATTGAAAAATGGTCAATTTTGGCATGAACAAATTGAATATATATTCAGGTGAGGGTTGTTTTTTCTCTATTTTTTTTTCTAAGATAAATGAGATTATTTTACCCTTTATAGGAAGTAAATGAAGGAATTCAGGCTCTCTCAAATAATGAGGAGGAGAAGAAAGGGGTGGCAGCATCACTGCTTGCTCCTTTGTTGCCTGAGGGAATAAAAGAGGAAGAAGAGAGATGGAGAAGAAAAGTAATTTGTAAAGAAGCAGAACCAGTCACAGAAGTGAAGGAAACCAGTACCACAGCAGAAGCAGCAGCAACGATAGTTAAACCACAGGAGATTACATTGGACAACATGGAAGACCCTTCTCAGGAGGATCTTTGCAGTGTTGTTCAGTCTGGAGAAAGTGAGGAAGAAGAGGAACAAGATACCCTTGAGCTGGAACTTGTTTTGGAAAGAAAAAAAGTAAGGTTTTGAAGCTTTTGTTAGATGCCTTTTCTCTCTTCTGTTGGACTCTGGGATCATTGTGCTCAGTTTACTGCCATTACTGGGATTTTGTTACCTTTACATCTAGTGATGTTTAAGCTTATACAATTAAAGTTTGAACTGTGGAGTTGTAGTTCTTTGGGTTCCTGATGGTGCTTTTGATAGTTGATAGCTAATAAAAACTGATACTGCTCTGATTTAAAGATAGCTGGATATAGTGAATAATACATCTTTTATTTAGCTTCTTAACAAATGAGCATTGTAAATTTTTGGTGGTAACTTGGTTTTCACCCCCATGGTTAAGGCACAGGTTGACTTCCAGTGATCACCCATGGAATTGTTCACATAGTTAAATGGGCCTTGTAAGATTAAGAGGAATCAATAATTTCATGTGCTTTCCTTTCAAGAAAGATGGTCCATAGGAAACTTTCCTGATTGAGAAATTGGTTTTTGCCTATTTTCTGCCCTGATTTTTCTTGGAACAGTTTCATTTACTACTTTGAATATGGAGTAAAATCTTAATGGGTGTTGTAACAGGAATATCTTCTTGAAGTTTTCCCCATTTTGAAAAATTTGAAGCTATGGAGAGGGACAAGCTAAGTTAGACTGTGTCTATTATGTTCATATATTGGAAAATTTGTCTCAGTGGATCTCTGGGACCTATCCCATTCAAATTGATGTTTTTTAAACTACAATCATGAATAAGCATTTAGTGGATACTAATAAAAAATATGAGCATAATGCTTGGCTCTGATGGAAAAGTGTATTAAGAAACACTTCCTGTTCTCAAAGCATTTTAATTCTCATAATATGTGGTTATCATTCCTGATATTCACAAATGCTTAAATGTTGGTAAACAGCTAATGACACTCTTAACTTTGTTGTCCTGTTCCTCTTAGGCAGAGCTACGAGCCTTGGAGGAAGGAGATGGTAGTGTGTCAGGGTCTAGTCCGTGTTCTGACATCAGCCAGCCAGCATCTCAGGATGGAATGCGTAGACTTATGTCTAAAAGGGGGAAATGGAAGATGTTTGTTCGAGCTACAAGTCCAGAATCTACTAGTCGGAGTTCCAGCAAAACTGGGCGAGAGACTCCAGAAAATGGAGAAACTGGTAATTCATGTTTTACTTTAAACTTTCAGAGTTGAAAGGTGTAGAGGGAGGGCGCCTGGGCAGCTCAGTTGTTAAGTGTCAGCCTTTGGCTTGGGTCATGATCCCAGGGTCCTGGAATCGAGCTCCGAATCAGGGTTCCTGCTCAGCGGGAAGCCTGCTTCTCCCTCTCCCACTCCCATGCTTGTGTTCCTTCTCTCGCTATCTCTCTCTCTGTCAAATAAATAAAATCTTTAAAAAAAAAAAAAAAGGTACAGTGGGAAAATCCTTTCCCTTTTTTGGTTCCCTCTGAAGCAAAAAGGAGATAGCACTTAATCCTTTCATGGAAGTGCTGGAAAGGAAGCTTTCCTTTCACTTCTTTTTCTATCCACCTCTAGTGGAGGAGTAAGAGTTAAGAGCTGCCATCCATTGGGTTGTAGATTCACTACTACCTCTCCCTCAAAAGAAAAGACTGATTCCACCCTTTTTAAAAAAAAAAAAAAAAAAAAAAGATTTTATTTATTTGGTGGAGAAATCATAAGTAGGTAGAGGGGGAGGGGGAAGCACACTCCCTTCTGAGCAGAGAGCCCAATGTGGGACTTCATCCTAGGACCCTGAGATCATGACCTGAGCCAAAGGCAGAGGCTTAACCCACTGAGCCACCCAGGCGCCCCTGACTACCCTTTATAAAGAAATCCTGCTGTAGTAGTCTTGATCTGTATTAAGTCCATGGGCTCTCGTTAGCTCACTGTTTACAGTTGGTAAGCAAGGCTGGCAGGGACCACCTGTGGCAAGTGCAGCCTCGTCTGTGTTCTCTCTGTATACAAGTTGCCTAGCCTCTGGTTAGTTGTTTAGATGGATTGGTCCTTTCATGAGGACGCAGCTTATCTCTGTGCAGGGTAATGTAGAAGACACCCTGCTGTGGCTTTCCAATCTGTTATCAGAGCTGGTATTTTGGGGCACCTGGATGGCTCAGTTGGTTAAGCGTCTGCCTTCTGCTGAGATCATGATCCCAGGGTGCTGGGATCAAGCCCCAAATGGGGCTCCCTGCTCAGTGGGGGGCCTGCTTCTCCCTCTCTCCAGGTTGTACTTTGTCTCTGTCACAAATAAATAAATGAAATATTAAAAAAAATAAAAATAAAACCTGTAATATCTTAATCTCCATTTGGCCTTAATTCTGTAGTGGAAAATTAGCAATAAGATTTGTGTACCAAACCTTAGTTATGTGTCCCTAACAGAAGATCCTTTATACCTATGGTTAAAAAACTACAAATACAAAACACAGTAATAAGTAAATGCAAACAACCTTGTTTGAATTTTTCCTTTTTAATCAGCAATATAGAAGAATAGGAAGTAAGAATCTAAAAGACCTCCTTCGTCTTTTCCCTATTCTCATTCCCTACCCCTGAAGTCTATTTTCTCTGTCCTTCATCTAACTATATCCTTCCAGACCTTTCCTCTATATTCATTTTCTAGTTGTGTATGTATGTATAATGTATACATGTGCATATGTAATTTTTGCCATAGATGCGATTAACCATATGGATTGTTAGGCGACATGCTTTTTTCACTTAAAGTGTTTAAAATTATTGTTTTTAACTACTAAGTGGTAAAGATATTTTCATTTAACTCTCCTCCATAAGTGGACATTTTTGTTGTGTCCATGTTTAACTCCTTAAAATAATGTTGCATTTGTATTGTCCAGTAATAGCTATAAGCCATTCAAATGTCCCAAGATGGAATGGATAAATTCTGTTGTGTTAATAGTCAAACATTGAATCATGGAACACTACATTAAAAACTAATGATGTACTATATAGTGACTAACATAACATAATAAAAAAATTTTATTTATTTGAGAGAGCATGAACAGAATGGGTGGGCAGAGAGATGGGGAGCCTGATGTAGGGCTTGATCCCAAGAACCTGGGGTCATGACCTGCACTAAAGGCAGATGCCCAACCAGTTGAGCCACCCAGGTACCCATTCCAATATATTCTTGCTATTGAATACTAAACAGCTGTAAAATATGAACAATCTACAGTTAATATGGATCAACATGATTCTAAGAAACAGTAATATTGAATTTAAAAAGCTACAGAAAATAAAAAGCTACAGGAGAATACGTAATGTTAACATTCTGTTTATGTAAGTTGGAAAATAGGCAGAAATACTGTGCTTAAAGACCTATCCATGATGAAACTAAAGGAAGGTACTTAACCACTGGGGTAGAGATTATTATGTCTGGTATGGACATAATAGCAGAGGTACTGTGAACTTCAGAAGTACCAGTGATAGGGGCGCCTGGGTGGCTCAGTGGGTTAAGCCGCTGCCTTCGGCTCAGGTCATGATCTCAGGGCCCTGGGATCGAGTCCCGCATCGGGCTCTCTGCTCAGCGGAGAGCCTGCTTCCCTCTCTCTCTCTCTCTCTCTCTCTCTGCCTGCCTCTCTGTCTACTTGTGATCTCTCTCTGTCAAATCAATAAATAAAAAATCTTTAAAAAAAAAAAAAAAAAAAAAAAAAAAAGAAGTACCAGTGATAGTCCGCCGTAATGCTGGGTTGTAGTTACTTGAGTGCTTACTTCATTCTTTATGTTTATTATAATACTTAACAATAAAAACAGTGCTATAATAAACATTTTGGTATATATATCTTTATGTAGATTTAGTGTCATATAGTATAGATTCCTAGAGATACATTACTAGACTGGGACTAGGAGTTTCCTAGAGATACATTGCTAGGTTAAGGGGTATGTACATTTTAATTTGATAGGTCCTAATTGCCTTCTAAAACATTCTAGTGTTAGGGTGTCTGGGTGGTTATTGGTTGGGCATCTGACTTAGGATCACGGGATCTTGGGGTCCTGGGATGGAGCCCCTCATTGGGTGTCCTGCTCAGTGTGGAGTCGGCTTCTCCCTGTCCCTCTGCCCCTCCACCTGCTCAGTGCTCTCTTTCTCATAAAATCTTAGAAATATGTAAATATTGTAGTCTTAGAGTTCTTGTGGTGGTATCAGTTTTTTTTTGTTTGTTTTTTTAAAGATTTATTTATTTATTTATTTGACAGAGATCACAAGTAGGCAGAGAGGCAGGCAGAGAGAGAGAGGGGGAAGCAGGCTCCCTGCTAAGCAGAGAGCCAGATGCGGGACTCTGTCCCAGGACCCTGAGATCATGACCTGAGCCGAAGGCAGAGGCTTAACCCAGTGAGCCACCCAGGCGCCTCGGTGGTATCAGTTGTTAAATTCTTATACCTACCACCAAATGTAAGGTGTCTAATGAATTACATACTAATAAGTGGGAGAAGTTGGTTTCAGTTTGAAAATGCAGGAATATTAGTGATAAAGAACAAGGCCATTATATGATGAGGTTATGTACTTAGGATAAACTTTTAGGCTGATAAAAGCTGTTGAAGGTGATACTAAAAGTCACATTACTTCTTCAGATCAAGGATTAATCAGAGTCAAGAAAAACCTTAAATTTGGTTATTTTCCTTAAAAAATGACTGATAGACTCATGACAGACTGATTTACATTGTATATGTGGATTAGTTTGGTAAGTGGTAAGCTAACATCCAGAGTTCATATCTGTTACTCCATTTAAGTTGATGGTAAGTCTCTTGTCTATTGAAGATTCCCACTAACAGACATTACCAACCAGAAGAGTAGATGGGTCCAATAAAGGTTGTCCGCAGGTCTTAACCAGTTCAGAAATAAGATTATTAGGTAGTTTAAAATTAATATTCCTCTGATTTTGAAAGCCTTTTTTTCAAAACCCAACTCATAAAGAATCTTTTTATATATCCTAGGTTTGATATGTAGCCTTTAAAAGTAATTAAAGCAGTGGTATTCTGGAATAGAAGATTAGAAAAAGTAAACAGATAAAGGAGAAAGGAGCAGCAGAGACTAATGTAAACGAATTAAGTGTTATTTATAGACTTTAAGAAAGGTGATTATAGGGGTGCCTGGGTGGCTCAGTGGGTTAAGCCTCTGCCTTGGGCTCATGTCATGATCTCAGGGTCCTGGGATCGAGCCCTGCATCCGGCTCTCTGCTCAGCGGGGAGCCTGCCCTCCCCACCCCCCACCGCCTGCCTTGCCTCACTGCCTACTTGTGATCTTTCTCTATCAAATAAATTAATAAAAATCTTAAAAAGGTGATTATAAAGGATAAAGTTTTTTGGTTTTATAAAGACAGTAGGTAGATAAATCATTAGGGTTTCTTTAATAAGGAAAACAGGTAAAGGAAAAAGTAACTTTTTACAGATACCTCTGCTACAGGGATAAGAAAATATATATGGGATACTATGTTAGTATCGGTCCTTTAATTTCACATGTTTCTTTTGTAGTAACTGGTGCTGACACTTCAGAAAAAACAGATGAGAATTCAGACAAAGAGATGGAAGTAGAAGAATCTCCAGAAAAGATAAAAGCACAAACAGCGCCTAAAGAAGAAGAACAGGATTTGAAAGTATGTATATTACTTAATATGGTCTGACATACAATTTTTTTTTAAAGATTTTATTTATTTATTTGAGAGCGAGAGAAAGAGAGAACATGAGAAGAGGGAGGGTCAAAGGGAGAAGCAGACTCCCTGCCTAGCAGGGAGCCAGACGCAGGACTCGATCCTGGAACTCCAGGATCATGACCTGAGCCGAAGGCAGTCACTCAACCAACTGAGCCACCCTGGTGCCCCTTAACAAATATTTTTAAATTGGGCAACCATTAAAGTACATCCTTTATTAGCAAGTACAGTGATCTTTACCTCCATATATAAATCATTTATGGTGGCGGAAATGTCATATTTCAGGGTGAAATACTGAATTATAAGACAGACTTGTTGCAGAGAAATTATCTATAATTCTAAATGCTTTAATTGCTTTCTTAGAAGTTAAGCCTTCATTTGAAAGCAATAACAGCTTATCAAATATAGGCTTTTCTAGTTGGGAAGAACTGAAGAGCCTAAAAGTCACAAATTTAATTCCTGTGTGAACTACTTGGCCTTACACAAAGGCAAATTTAGTTCCAGTTTTATTTGAAGCCTCATGTCATGAGAATTGGACCACGTAAGTATGAGGCTCTTAAAGGTTGATATGTTGGAAAAGCTATTTAGCACATTCTTTTGACCTGAAAGAGTTTATCCAGTCACTGACCTGTGTACGACCATGTGAAAGGGACTGGGAGAATTAATTTTGTTCAGTGTGTAGGTAGTAAAAGAGTTAGTAATGCATAAATGATAGTTTGGACACTGTTGGGAGTTGTATCATTTAACATCTATTTATACCTGCAGAATCCTGAGTTGTCTCAGAGTATGTATACATTTAATTTCTCTAGACTTGTCATTATTTATCGCTTGTTATGTGAATTAGTTTACTTAAATTAGAATCTTGTTTTCTCTACATAACTTATTTAGATGGAGCTGTTTAAGAAGGGCTATTTCTAGGCAGACCCTTTTTTTTAAATCATATTTAAGAAAAATGAAAGATTTTACATAATACAGAAAATACTGCTGATTCAATTCTATTTCTTCCCTTTTTTCATTTCTTGCATTGCAGTTTCAGATTGGAGAACTGGCAAATACCCTGACAAGTAAATTTGAATTCCTAGGCATTAATAGACAGTCCATCTCCAACTTTCATGTGCTGCTTCTACAGACTGAGGTAATTTAGCCATTTTTGGTTCCAGTTGGTCATGGTTGGTCATTGATTAAAATGCTGTATGTGTGAAGCATTTGTTTTACTTTTTTATTTTATATTTTTAAAGATTTTATTTATTAGAGACCACAAAATGGGGGTGTGCAGAGGGAGAAGCAGACTCCCTGCTGAGCAGGGAACCCAACCCTGGACTCAATCCCAGGACCCTGGGATCATGGCCTAAGCCGAAGGCAGATGCTTAACCAACTGAGCCACTCAGGTCCCCTGTCTGTCTTGTTTTAATCCTAAATTTAAAAAAAAATTTTTTTTTACACTGTCTTTCTTGAAGCTTGCAGTCTTTTTTTTTTTTTAAGATTTTATTTACTTATTTGACAGATCACAGGTAGGCAGAGAGAGAAGTTGAAGCAGGCTCCCCGCTGAGCAGAGAGCCCAATGTGGGGCTCGATCCCAGGACCCTGAGATCATGACCTGAGCTGAAGGCAGAAGCTTAACCCCCTGAGCCACCCAGGCGCCCCATAAATTAAAATTTTTAACATTGGTGCATATTTGAACCACCAACCCAGGAAATAAAACTGTCTATTAGCTAAAGCAAAACATAATTATGGAGGTAAATACTGAGATTTTATGTGTGTTGATAACCACCTTCAATAGGCGTATATTTTATTTTAAAAATGTTTGGGTGGGGGACTATCTGAGTGGCTCAGTCAGTTAAGCATCCAACTCTTGAGTTTGGCTCAGGTCATGATCTCACGGTGGTGAGATTGAGCTCAGTGTTCAGCATCAACTCTGCCTGTCTCTATCTTCCTCCACTTGTGTTCTCTCTCTCTCTCTCTCTCTCTCTAATAAATAAATAAATAAACTTAAAAAAAATTTTTTTTTTTTTTAAGATGTAAGCTCTCTGCCCATTTTGGGGCTGGAACTCAAGGCCTTGAGATCAAGAGTCCCATGCTCCACTGGCTGTGAATGAGCATATATTTTAATATAGACCCGTTTTCTGACAAAATTCTATTGATAGTGATCAGATGAGGCCATGTCATGTTGAAAGACTTTGTACGTGCTACGAGATTATAAATCTGTTAAGAAAAGTTCTGGGGGCGGCTGGGTGGCTTAGTTGGTTGGGTGTCTGCCTTTGGTTCTGGGATCAAGTTCCGTATTGGGCTCCCTGTTCAGTGGGAATTCTGTTCTCTTTGCGGCTCCTCTTGCTCGTGGTTGCTCGCTCTCTCTTCCCCAAGAAATGAATAAAATCTTAAAAAAAAAAAAAAAAAGAAGTTCTGAGTTCTGTTTGTCACCTGCATAGTTTACAGTATGGCATGTTATGATTTAGTAAGGAAGTTCTCCTGTAGGAATCTGACTTCCCTAAGGACTGAACTTTTGTTTTTGATGAGGAACATTACTGAACTATCTACCAAACAAAGGTAAAATTGCTAGGGAATTTTCCTGTCCAAAGGGGGAAATAAAAGTGCTACTTGTTTTCAGGTACTGGAGAGCTGGCAGTGTAAAAAGTACTGGAGTACTGAAGTCCAGTCTCATTTTTCAGAACTCTGCAGAGCAAACAAGATTTTTTATGAAACTAAGATGATTTGTTTTTTGTTTTTGTTTCTGTTTCTTGGTGTACTTTCTTTTTTGTGAGAGTATAGCAATACAGTCATGGACCAGAAAACGTTCCTTTTACTGCTGCTTCTTGACGTAACAAGAAGTCTTTAACTTATTTCTCTATTTGTTGATTCTAGACTCGGATTGCAGACTGGAGGGAAGGGGCTCTTAATGGAAATTACCTTAAACGAAAACTTCAGGATGCAGCAGAACAACTAAAACAGTATGAAATAAACGCCACTCCTAAAGGCTGGTCCTGCCACTGGGACAGGTACGCACTCTTCTCCCCTTTTCACCTTTCACCTTTGACATCTCAGACATGATTTGTGATCACCACCACCTGACGACATGACAGCCTGTCTGGAGACTGAGAGCAGCTGCGGTTAGCGGTGCTGGGCAGGCAAAGCACCGCAAGCACTTACAGAGTCTGGGCCAGCCACACGGAGAAACAAAAAGCAATGTTTAAAGTGTTCCATGTAACGGATTTTTTCCCAAGATGGACAAAGCTGGTTTTTACTCTCCAGAGTGTTGTTGCACGGAGTAGGGCGGGCTTGGGGGTTAAGCGCATGCGAGAGCTCTGTGCGCTTTACAGGACCTCTGGAAGCAACTACTCCTGATTAACCTCGGTGAAGTTAAGGAAAGCTTCGTGCCTGAAGATGTGAATGAAGAACAAGATTACTATCTTCTGCCAGCAGGTCAGATGAAAATATTTCTTTTTATATTTGGCTTTTCTTGATTTTTTTTTCGTTATTTGAAATCTTTGCTCTTTTATTTTTCAGCTCCCAGATCCTCTCCCTCTCTTTAGCTTTCACTGTGTTTGATATCAAGAGTATGAAATGTGAATTCCACGGTCCAAGAGGGGAAGAGTCACCTTTCGCAAACTTCGTTGTTCTCTTCTTTGGAAGGGAAATTAGTGTTCTAGGATATTGAGTCCCTTCGTTAATGCAACTTGAAAGCCTGTTAAGCATTGGCAAAAAAAAAAAAAAGTGTGAGAGGTGTTTTCTAAGTCATCTGTTGGAATGAGAGGGCTCAGGGCTGTATTCACAGAGCTGCTGGCAGTGCAAATAGCTTTGAATTATCGTTGGTTCTTCATTCTCAATTGTCAAAGCTCTTTGTTGCCTTTGTGAATAGCAGTCCATTAAGAAGAGGTTCGTCCCTGTGAGAGCAGACTGCTGTCCTGGGACAGGACCAAATGGAAGTGTCTTTGTAGGAGAATGGGTCTTAAAACATGTGTTTTCTTTCTTGTAATTTAGGGATCATAGACGATATTTCTATGTAAACGAACAGTCGGGCGAGTCTCAGTGGGAGTTTCCAGATGGTGAGGAGGAGGAGGAAGAGAGCCAAGCACAAGAAAGTAGAGACGAGACTCTTCCTAAACAGACTTCGAAAGACAAAACTGGCACTGAATCAAATTCTGCAGAATCATCTGAGAATTCCACAGGTGGGACAATTTACCCTATACTAATTTAGAGAGAAATAACTTTTGGGGGGAAAAAAATGACTTGTGTTAGTTGATACCATAAAAGAAGGAAATAAATCAAGAGTTTCTATTAAAAAATAGTGACTTGACATAAAATTATAAGTTAATTCTGAAGAAAACTAAGGCAGTGACTACTTGGAAATCAGCATACTATTAATTTCAGACTTTGTTAAAATGTGAAATGATGAGCCAAAATATTTTGATTTTAAGAATGTCCTAGGGGCACCTGGGTGGCTCAGTCATTAAACATCTGTCTTCGGCTCAGGTCATGATCCCGGGGTCCTGGGATCGAGCCCCTCATCAGGCTCCCTGCTCAGCAGGAAGCCTGCTTCTCCCTCTCCCACTTCCCCTGCTTGTGTTCCCTCTCTCAGTGTCAAATAAATAAATAAAATATTTTTTTTAAAAAGTGTCCCATAGGTGCTCCCTTCTACTTTTTAGATGGGATGCTTCCTGATTCTTGCATCATTTAATAAAGTGAATTAGATCTTAACAACAACAAAAAATTGTCCCATGTCCGCAGACAAAGCTGTGTATCCAGTAACAGGGATGCAAATTAATGTTAAGGAACTAGTAGTTGAAATGTCAATATCTACGTGGAGGTGATAATGGGGTTTTTGTTCTGCAGTTCTACAGAAAGCTTAGTCTATTGGTACTGTAGCCTCATTTTTCCACTCTAGTCGTCTTAAAGACGTATGGTTGCTAAAATGTTTTGACGAAATGGTATGAAATTATGACCATTGTTTCAGATAAGCGAAATAATTGATGCAAATTGGTGCAAATTGCCAACAGTATTATAGTATAAAACAATCAGGATGGCTCTGAACCTATTTAAAGTTTTCATAGAGGTCTTATGTTTGTTGTATACATTTAAAAAATAACTTTCATAGCTCCTTAGTTCTCTGAGAATCTTGAGAGCGCTAAAGAGAAGTGGCTTGATTTCTGCATTATGGAAGAAGATGCATTTTTTTTTTCCTTTCCCTCTGAATCCAGTGTTCTTAAAATAACAAAAATAAGTGAATAGTGAAACATAGTCAGTACTATGATTTTTAGCAACCATTTTGATCTGAAAAACTGGTAGCTCTTTGTTAAAATAATAGCAAATAAAGCAGGAGTCTATGGTTTGGCTTTTAAAAGAATAAACCTTTTGTAGATAAAGACATGGAATTTGTTGGTAACTTAGGGAGTGAAGAGCTGAATTTTTTTGTCCTCTGCTTATCAAAAATGATACGTTATTTATTTATTTAAGATTTTATTTGTTTATTTGATAGAGCAAGAGAGGGAACACAAGCAGGAGAAGTGGGAAAGGGAGAAGCAGGCTTCGTGCCAAGCAAGGAACATGATGGGGGCTCGATCTCAGGACCCTGGGATCATGACTAGAGCTGAAGGTAGATGCTTAATGACTGAGCCACCCACGCACCGCTTTACTTACTTATTTTCTAAAAATATTTTATTTCTTTGAGAGAGAAAGAGATAGCGAGAGAAGGAGTACAAGCAGGGGGAGTGGGAGAGGGAGAAGCTGATTTCCTTTGGAGCTGGGAGCCCCATGTGGGGCTCGATCCCTGGACGCTGAGATCATAACCCAAGCCAAAGGCAGATGCTTAGTGACTGAGCCACCCACGCCCCCAATACTTTTGTATTTATTTGGCTCCCTGATACCAAACAGAAAGTTCTGATAATATACCAAATGAAAGTGGTTGTGTTACCAAATGGTTTTGTTCATTTCTTAAATAGCCTAGGGATAATTATCAGATCACTGAATAAAAAGCCACATTTGGCTACAGTGCTAATTTTGCACATAGCAAAGGGTATTTTGATTTTACTTCGTATTTCAGAAATATATTTTCTCAAGTTAGAGTATTTTACTAACATTCTCACAAAGAGATTTTCTTTTAAATTTTTTCCCCCCCTCTTTCAGTAGCAAAGATAGCTATGTCTCATAAGTTGGTTTTATCACTTGTTTGCTTTTTAGTAGTTAGTGAACTGAAGAGGCTTGATGTAGTTCTGGGAAGAAGACTTCTCCTGAGCACTGTCTGATGTCCCTTGTATGTTGAAGAGCTGAATATTCCAGGGTTACTGATTCTTTAAGTGTTCTCTGAACACCTTAGACTTAAAAGTTATTTTTTCCTTTTGTTGATGACAAACACAGTTGGGTACCATGTGGTAAAGGGAAGACTTGGAGACATTCCTGTCTGATTAAAACAATACTAATTATGCTGTAGGAAAAAGCCACTGATAATCCTGCTTATATTCTTAAGCCTCTTTAATGAGAGCCACTAAAACTTTGATAAACTTGATTTAAATAAAACCCAAATCTTACACTAAGGTCTTTGGGATTTGAGAGTATTTCTGATTACTAGTTTAAGCATATAAAGAAGGTTTGTTTAATATATTCTGTTTGTCATTGTCATCTCAGCAGTGGTTAAAACCATCTTTTAAGAGAAGAAAAATTACTACATTGTGCGGAGCAAGGAAGTTTCCAAGTTCTGTTCATTTTTTAATCCTTGTTCATTGTTCAAATTTAACATCTTGTCTCTAAAGACAAGTGATGTCTAAAATGTTTGTCATTTATGTTAAATTTAGCTGCTTTTCAGAAGTCTGTGGATCTGTTTGTTTTTTTTTTATAACTTCTTGCTTTAAATTGTTAAACTGTCCTCTTGGTTCAAAATACTAAGCAAAAGTTTTCTCTTTGGAGCAATACAGGAAAACAGTAAAGGAAGCCTGCCTTCAAATAAAAACAAAGATGCATAGAAAAAAGTTGTTGAAGAGCTCAAAATTCGTGTCTCCACACTATTTTAAGCCTGTAGTTTTCAAATTTATTAGTGTATAGTAAAAGCTGTGTTTACCTTTAATCTCTCCTTGAACTTTAGACTTAAATGTTACCTTAAATGGCAAAATATACCAACTGGGTTGTATTTAGAAATGAAGAGAAGCAATATGCAATAGAACATCCCTGGATATTCAAATGGATATTTCTTAAGTTTTTTGTGTCTGAGCTAAAGGAGATAATTATCAGTATTGTGTCTAAGCTAAAGGAGATAATTAACAGTATTAAGATACAGCTTTTGTGTTTTGAGCAACTTAATATGGGATTCAGATATTAACCAGAAATGCTTCTTGTTTGCTGCTAAATTTATCAAGTCTAGTTTATCACATATTTACACAAAGTTTAATTCTGGTTGGCTTTGCTGAAGGTTGTAAACCACATTATTAAATTTGAACCTGTATTTCCTTGAGTTGCTTTGTATAGCAGCACATTATCATCATAAGCATATCTATACTGTATTATGCTTTTAGATGAGAGTGTAAAATTTGACTTGCTGATTATCTACCAGATGTTGAAAGTTTAGAAGCTTGCTAAGTTATTAATTCTCAGTATTTATTTTCTTGGGTTCTGATGTGATCTTGATATTCTGTTATTATGTAATACAGTAGACTGCTTGGTCATACCTGGACTTTATTCATCTAAAAGTTAGTGTGTAAATTCATATTAGATATGACCAAATATAAAAGTCAGGTGAGGCAGTTGAAGTCTTTTAGCTGGAAAACTGCATTCTTGTTTTCTGGTGACTGTTTTTTCAGCACTCTTTTCCTTTAATCAACTTCTCAAAATAATTACAGTGAATTTTGTGAATCATCCTCTTAAAGTCTTTTACAAAAATATATTACATATCTGCTCCATAAAAACTAAAGCTGTCCTAAAAGCCAAATGGTTTATGGTGGCTTTGGTTTTACCTTGTTGAGAACCAGTGTGGTGTCTTTTGGGGCAACCAAGGTAAAGGGTTGTATCCTTGTTGAGAGACTGGTAATAGCACCCTTATTTAATCCACCACTTTTCACCATGAAATTTAACAGGTGATTACATTTGTATCTCTTCTCCATGAGAAGTGAGATTTATCTAGCTGTGATTTCTAAAGCTCTTAGACCTCTGTCATTTCACCAGGACTTCTTGGTAAAATAGCACTAGACTAGGAGTCAGACCTGGCCACTGAGAGCTGTATGATCTTAGGCAAGTCATTTTCCTCCTGGGTTTCATTACCTTTGAAATGAGAGAGTTGAATTAGATGATTTCTCATGTCTCTTCTACTCCTAAATTCTATGATTTTTAGGGAGAAAATTCCCTTCAGCATTCCTGGGATATATATCTAATAGTCCCATATATTGTGAAACTTCCCTATTGACGATAAAGAGGGATGGGGAAGGCTACAAGTAAGTATATCCTCCTATTTTCTTTAACCCTTAAAGCTTTTCCCAGGAGAGAAAGGAAAAGAATTAACTGGCTTTTGCAGAATTTGAGAACTGATTCTGCAGCTTTTTACTTATAATTTCTTTTTAACTCAGACTCCAGCATCAATTTCACATCCTCTGGGTCTTCAAACACCTTTTTCATGTGTGCCTTCATTATCTTGTACCTTGAAGATTTGTTGTTCTAAATTTCCCTTTTCTCCTTACAAAAAAATTGCCCTTCTTGATTTGTGTTGCTGTGATTCAGCAAGTGTAACTCATTAAAAGGTGCAAAGGAATGATAAAGTTCACAAGAAAGAGCACCTTGCAAATGGGTTTTTAAAACCTAGTAACTCAAATTAATTAAAATAAGTAGAATTCAGAACAGGTGCTTTGAATGAGTGCTTCTCTGGGTCATCCCCAATCAGTCATCTAGCTCACTTAAAAATAAAATAACATGGAATCAGTATTGCAAATGCACATTATTCATTCCCCTCTTCGTTTTTGAAGTTAAAAAGACCCAGAGTTTTGCCTTCTAGTTGTGTATGTTGAAACTGTGAATGTTTGAAATAAGAAACATCAGGTTCAGATGACCAGATTTCTCACTGAGTTGATGTGGTGTGCTTCATTTATTCATCTATAAATCTGGACCCAAAGAACAAAACTAGTATATAATATAGCTGGGGCAAATACTAACTGTGAGGTGCATAAATTCATTTTTCCATGGTAGTCATTTTTGAACTGAATTGCTTAATATTTCAGTGACCTCAGTGTAGAGTAGATGCCTGGGGGTCTGATTTTGTCTCACTAGTCACTTGAACATTGGTGCGAATGTAAGCCACAGAGTTTTTGTCTTGCCTTTGCCCTGACTCCTGTTTGTTTTTATAGGTTCTCTTTGTAAAGAGTCCTTTTCTGGCCAAGTTTCTTCTTCATCACTCATGCCACTTACTCCATTCTGGACCCTCCTTCAGTCAAATGTGCCTGTGCTTCAACCTCCATTACCTTTGGAAATGCCACCACCTCCACCTCCGCCCCCAGAATCCCCTCCTCCCCCTCCCCCGCCCCCTCCTCCTGTAGAAGATGGTGAGATCCAGGAGGTAGAGATGGAGGATGAGGGAAGTGAGGAGCCTCCTGCCCCAGGAACAGAGGAGGATACTCCATTGAAACCTTCGACACAAACCACAGTTGTAACTAGCCAGGTGAGAAATACTGTTTGGCATTCTGAAGAGTTTCTGGGGACTGGGGCACGATTTGACACCATGTTTTGTTTTAGAAGAGGATGTTTAATCAGGACTTTCAGCCACTAACTAGATTCTCTTTGTTTCAGAGTTCAGTTGACTCTACTGCCTCTAGTTCGCCTTCCACTAAAGCAGTAAAAAGAAAAGCTACAGAAATTAGTACTGCAGTAGTTCAGAGATCAGCTACCATCGGTAGTTCTCCAGTACTCTACAGCCAGTCAGCTATAGCTGCAGGTAAACCTTGTGATTAAAATGTTTTCCTCAATGTGTTATATCTTTGTTTTCAGGATTAGATGTCAGGTAAAGGCTTTTCACTTCATTATTTTGTTTATATAGATGCCACACCCAGTGTGGAGCCCAGTGTGGGGCTTCAACTCAACAACCTTGAGATGAAGAGTACAACACTAACCACTGAGCTACCCAGGCACCCCAAGGTCTTCATTTTAAAAACTCTTTCTAGGGGTACCTGGGTGGCTTGGTCGTTAAGGGGCTGCCTTCAGCTCAGGTCATGATCCCGGTGTCCTGGGATCAACCCGTGCATCGGGCTCCTTGCTCAGTGGGAGGCCTGCTTCTCCCTCTCTCACTCCCCCTGTTTGTGTTCCCTCTCTCACTGAGTCTCTGTCAAATAAATAAAATCTTTAAAATAAAAAAACAAAACAAAAATCTTTTTCTATATGTTTCTTCTAGTTACTGAAAACTATTGTGTATCCTTCCAGATTGTTTTCTGTGCACTTATATGACTTCAGTAATTTTGATGTTTAAGTACCTTACTGTGGGGGTGCCTGGCTGGCTTATTTCGTAGGGCATGCAACTCTTGAACTCAGGATCATGAGTCAGTCTATCTGTTTATCTATTTATTTATTTTTAAGATTTTATTTATTTGTCAGAGCACAAGCACGGGGAGCAGCAGGCAGAGAGAGAAGCAGGCTCCCAGCTGAGCAAGGATCCCAGTGTGGGACTCAGTCCCAGGACCCTGGGATCATGACCTCACCCAAAGGCCAACGCATAATTGCCTGAGCCACCAGGCGCTCCTGTGGCTGTATATATATATATTTTTTTAAGATTTATTTAGTTGAGAGTTAGGGAGGAGGAGAGTGAAAGAAATCCTCAGGCAGACTCCCTGCTGAGCGTGGAGCCCAGCTTAGGCCTTGATCTCACTTTCCAGAGATTATGACCTGACTCAGACATTTAACCAACTGAGTCACCCAGGTGCCCTATGGCTATATTTTTTGAGGAAAAGGTGTACTGACATTTCATAGGTGATCTAACCCCCAGTTCTCTTTTCTGTCTTTTCCTCATTTTTGCTTGTCACAATATCCTTCTTACAGTCTTGTTTTATGTTTTCCGTGTTAGGTCACCAGGCAGCAGGGATTGGACACCAGTCTGCAGGGATTGGACACCAGGCAATATCAGTTAGCCATCCAGCAACAGGAATGGGTCATCAAGCCAGAGGAATGAGCTTGCAGTCAAATTACCTAGGACTGGCATCAGCTCCTGCAATTATGAGCTACACGGAATGTTCTGTCCCAATGGCAGTGACTGCTCCCACACTGCAGCCAGTCCAAGCCCGAGGTGCTGTGCCTACCACTGCCATTATTGAACCACCACCACCACCACCTCCTCCTCCTCCTCCTCCACCACCACCAGCTCCCAAAGTGCCACCACCTGAGAAGACCAAAAAAGGAAAGAAAGATAAGGTAGAGTAAATCTAAGTTTCTATTTTAAAAAAATTTTGGGGTACTTGGGTGGCTCGGTTGCTTGGGTCATGATCCTGGAGTCCTAGGATCAAGGCCTGCCTCAGACTCCCTGATCAGCAGGGAGTCTGCTTCTCCCTCCAGCCCTTTCCCCTCTCGTGCTGTCTCTCTCTCTCAAACAAAATTTAAAAAAAAATTTTTTTTTAGAGCACCTAGGTGGCTCAGTTAAACATCTGCCTTCAGGTCATGATGCTCAACTGACTGAGCCACCGAGGTGCCCCACGATTCTATTTTTTTACATCCGTTCTGGCAATATAGGACTTTTAATTGGAGAGTTTCGTTTATATCAATAAATTACAGATTTATTATCAGTAGTTACTAAAAGGGGAGGACCTACCACTACTGTTTTGTTACTTGTTTTCTATAGATATCCTATAAAGCTTTTTATCCTCATTTCTTCTCTTACTGCTGCCTTTTGTGTTTAGTTGACTTTTTTTACAGTGACACATTTTGATTCCCTTGTCATTTCTTTTTGCATATATTCTGTTTATTTCTTTGTGGCTGTTGTGGGTATTACATATAATGTGCTGAAGTTACAATAATCTGTTTTAAACTAATACACTGCACTGCAGACAAAAAGCTATATAGCTGCACTGCACTGTTATAAATTACGTCTTTATATGTTGTACCCATTAATGTAGTTTTAAAAGTATGTTTATGCTTTGCCTTTTAAATTTTTAGAAGAGTAATAAGTAGAGTTACAAACCAAAATCATAATCATACTGGTTTTTATATTCATTCATGTATTTATCTTTACCAGAGAATTTTATATTTTTGTATGGCAAGTTAAGTTCTGGCATCTTTTCATTTCAACTTGAAGGACTCCACTCCCTTAAGCATTTTTTACAAGGCAAGTCAAGCAGTAAGGAACTCCCTCAGCTTTTGTTAATTTTGGGAACATCTTAATTTTTTCCTTATTTTTGAAGGAAAGTGTCGCCTGGTATATAGAATTCTGAATTGGCTTCTTTTTAATTTCACCCCTTTAAATATATCCTCCTACTGTCTTTTGGCCTATGTCATTTCTGCCAGAAATCCTCTGATAATCTTATCGAGGATCCCTTATATATGACAAGTCACTTTTTTTTTTTTTTTGCCTTGATTTTAGATTCTCTTTGGCTTTTGACAAGTTATGTCACACTGTGGTCTTTTGGGGTTTATACTACATGAAGTTTGTTAGACCTCTTGGATATGTATATCCATGTCTTCCTTAAATTTGGGAAGTTTTTTGCCTATCTTTTTTCTTTCACTTTTGTTTTTGTAATTAAAAAATTTTTTTAAAGATTTTATTTATTTATTTATTTATTTATTTATTTGACAGAGCGTGCGCACACAACTTGGGGAACAGCAGGGAGGGAAAGGGAAAAGCAGGCTCACCAGAGTAGGGAGCCTGATGTAGGGCTCAGTTCTCAGACCCTGGGGTCATGACCTGAGCCAAAAAGAGAAGCTTAACAACTGAGCTGGCCAGGTGTGCCTCCTCCCTACTTTTTTTAGAAGTATCTCCACACCCTGCATGGAGCCTAGTATGGGGCTTGAACTCATTACCCTGAGAACAAGACCTGAGTTGATATCAAGAGTCAGATGCTTAAGTGGTTGAGCCATCCAGGCACCCTGTGGCTTTTTTTTTTTTTTTTTTTTTTTTTTTTTTTTTAAGATTTTGTTTATTTATTTGTCAGAGAGACAGAGTACAGGCAGGCAGAGTGGCACGCAGAAGGAGAAGCAGGCTCCCAGCAGAACAAGGAGCCTGATGTGGGACTTGATCCCAGGATGCTGGGATCATGACCTGAGCTGAAGGCAGAGGCTTAACCAACTGAGCCACCCAGGTGTCCCACCCTGTGGCTATTTTTTTTTCTTTTTTTAAGATTTTATTTATTTATTTGACATACAAGGGATCACAAGTAGGCAGAGAGGCAGGCAGAAAGAGGGAGGGGGAAGCAGGCTCCCTGCTGAGCAGAGAGCCCCATACGGGGCTAGATCCCAGGACCCTGAGATCATGACCTGAGCAGAAGGTAGAGGCCCAGTCCACTGAGCCACCCAGGTGCCCCCCTGGGGGCAATGAGTTTTAAAATGAGTTTTGCCCTTTTCTTTCCATCCTCCTGGGACTTCCATAATGCATATGTTGGTCCACTTAAGAGTGTATTATAAGTCACTTAGGCCCTGTTCACTTTGCTTCATTCTTTTTCCTTTTTGCTCCGCAGACTCAGTAATTTAAAATGACCTACCATGAATTTTACTACTGATCCTTTCTTCTGCCTATCAGAGTCTCCTGTTGAGCTAATGAATTTTTCAGTTCACATTTTTCAACTTCAGAATTTTTATCTGCTTTGGGTTTGGTTTTTTTTGTTGTTGTTGTTTTTTTTTTAAATCTCTCTCTTTGTTGATAATCTCATCTTGTTCATGTATAACTTTCCTGATTTCCTTTAGTTCTTTGCTGGTGTTTTCCTTTAGCTTTTGGGGCATATTTAAAACTTTTCTTTTTCTTAACTTTATACTCTTTTTTTTTTAAAGATTTTTATTTATTTATTTGACAGAGAGAGACACAACCAGAAAGGGAACACAAGCAGGTGGAGTGGGAGAGGGAGAAGCAGGCTTCCTCCTGAGCGGGGATCCCAATACGGGGCTCGGTCCCAGAACCCTGGAATCATGACCTGAGCTGAAGGCAGACACTTAACAACTGAGTCACCTACGCTCCCCTGAGCACTTTTAAGACCACTCTTTTGACGTCTTTATCTAGTATGTCTTCAGCATGTGTTTATGGTTGGTTTCTAGAAATCTTCTTTTCCTTTGAATGGGTGTGTTTCCCAGTTTCCCAGTTTTGTGATTTTTTTTTTTCCTGTATTGAAAATTAGGCATTTGAGAAAACAGCTCTCTCTCCCAGTCTTTGTAGCCTTGCTATATTTGTGGAAAGAACTTCATTAATGAGCCCTGTATGAAGGCTCAAGATCTTTTTGGGCCTTTTCTGGGCATTTGTATTCCCTGGATTTATGCTTTCCTTTTTTTCTCATTCCCCTGTATACATTTAATTTTAATTTTCCGAAGAGTCTCACACCTGCTTTTAGGAGCCTTACATGCTGTATAGTATTCTTCTGCCCCTAATCTGTTGCTTCCAGGTGTCCACATGACTGCAGTTTCCACATGGTTTTCGCATGCCATAATACCTGCCACTGCCTTTCATGGCTTCCAACCTGAAACCAGGATAGAACATTTTACTCTTTTCCTTCCCTCCTGAAGGAGGGAACTGAGAATTGGCTGTTTCACCCCAACCATGTGGGAGAGGGTGGTGCACATAGGCAAGCAGACAAGCCACAGAATTTCCTATTGTTTTGAGTGGGGCTACTACTACTACTTCTTTTTTTCACCAAGGTTTTGTGTGTACATAATCTCTATACCCAGTATGGAGCTGAAACTTAAAGCTCTGAGATTAGAAGTCATATGCTCTACCTACTGAGCCAACCAGGCACCTGAAGTATGGCTTCTGATTGAGTGTTCTCTTGGTTGCTGTAGATCTTTAGTTCATTTCCAGAGTTCCTATAAAGCCATTTTAGTCAGGTTTTGTTTACAGTAATGTTTCTGTGAGGAAACAGGGTTTGGAGACATCATTCTGATGTCATGTCACACTCACGGCCACTTTTGAATGTCCTGATTACCAAAAAAACTTTCTTTCTTTCTTTTTTTTTTTTCAAAGATTTTATTCATTTGACAGAGAGACTGTGAGAAAGAGGGAATACAAGCAGGGGGAGTGGAAGAGGGAGAAGCCAGCCTCCTGCTGAGTGGGGAGCCTGACACAGGGCTGATCCCAGGACCCTGGGATCATGACCTGAGCCAAAGGCAGACGCTTAACGACTGAGCCACCCAGGCGCCCTGCAAAAACAAAAAACAACTTTCTCATCAGCTTTTGTCCTCTGTGTTAGCACTTTCTCTTCTACCTCAACTTTAATCTTTTGCCCTGAGGATTAACAGGGCAAATTCATTTGCCTTACAATGGTTCAAAGAATCTTCTTGAATGGGTTCTGCATTCACACGAAATAGACAATGTTTCCAGATTAAACCATTTGTCCAACTTGGTACCATGTTTTCAGATAGAAATTATCTGGAAATGAAGTGAATATTAGAGCAGTCAATAATAACAAGACAGTGTGTAAAGTAGACCAATGTCAAGCTCTACACCAAAGTATACACAGCTCTCCTGAGTAAAAATACTGTTTACCACCTCCCTGCCTTTACTTTGTCCACCAGTTCCAATACTGTTTGCTCTTTACACAATTAAATGTTAGAACAACCAGTTCTTGGGAATCATTTATCCTCTGAAGCCTTCCTTGACACCCTTTTTCCGACCCACCAGACATAATTGCTTCTGCCTCTTTTACTGCAGTAAGTAATTTTTTAGCCAGTCATGCTTCTATGGTCTTGAAAAATCGAGAATTCTAACTTGGTAATGTATTATTTTTACATACTTAATATTGAAACAAATGATGGCCTCTTTGTTGTGTATAGGCCATTTTAAAAGAATATAAAATGGAGGAACCTGAGTGGCCCAGTCACTTGTGTCTGACTCTGTTTCAGCGCAGTTAATGATCTCAGTGTCATGAAATTGAGCTCCACGTGGGGCTTTGTGCTTAGCGCAGCATCTGCCTGGAATTCTCTCTTCTTCCTCTGCCCCTCTCCTTTATGTGTTGCACGCGTGTGCTCTCTCTCTCTAAAATAAGAATAAAATCTTAAAAAAAAAAAATAGGGGCGCCTGGGTGGTTCAGTTGGTTAAGAATCCAGCTTTTGATCTCAACTCTGGTCTTGATCTCAGGGTTATGAGTTCAAGCCCCAGATTGGGCTCCCTGCTGGGCATGGAGTTTACTTAAAAAAAAAAAATATATGTATATATATATATATATATATAAAAGATATACTTAGTGCCTCATGTTCGGGAATATTTGAAATACATGTTTTCAATCTTTTTTTTTCCTTTAAGATTTTATTTGAGAGAGAGAGAGAGAGAGTGCGCAAGTGGGGGGGAGGGGCAGAGGCAGAGGGAGAAGCAGACTTCCAACTGAGCAGGGAGTCCATCCCAGGACCCTGAGATCACAACCTGAGCCGAAGACAGAGCTTTAACCAACTGAGCCACCCAGGCGTCCCAGTTTTCAGTCTTTTTGCTAGAGTTTTGTGTGCAGCTTACTAGAAAATAAGTCCTAACCATTCAGTCTTTATTCATCTGACTTCAGTGTTCCCCTGTGAAAATGTGCTTAAAGAGCCAATGCAACTCTATATCCATGGTTTTGATTGTGATTGTCAATAAGCTTCTAAAACATAACTAATTTTCCCATGACTGATAGGAATCACGTGATAAAAAAAATTTTTTTTACAAAGCCCAATAGAAGTCAAAATGAAACAAGAGTAACTCTACCCAGAGCTTTGTTCTTTGTTTTGTTTTGGTTTGGTTTTTTTTTTAAGATTTTATTTGTTTATTTGACAGAGATCACAAGTAGGCAGAGAAGCCGGCAGAGCGTGGGGGAGGGAAGCAAGCCCCCCGATGAGCAGAGACTGATGCGGGGCTTGATTCCAGGACCCCTGGATCATGACCGGAGCTGAAGGCAGAGGCTTTAGCCCACTGAGCCATCCAGGCGCCCCAAGAACTTTGTTCTTTAATCATGGTTGCCAATGTTCAGTGAAAGATTATACATCAGTGAGCCCTCTGTGTTCATGTGACCATTATTAGTTCATGTTACTTTTGACTCAGTTGATTCCCTGCTAGGCCAGAGTGGGCTGTTCTGGAGCTTGCAGGAAGGGGGTATATACAGTGTGAGAGCCTGTATCACAGGTGAAAGGACAGACTGGAACATGGGGACGTGTGTGGGAACTAAAGGTGTCAGCACAACAGATGGGCATTCATTTCCCCCAGAAAGTTAAGAACTCTGAGTTATAATCAAAATAGGGTATCGAGTTACCAGGGAGCTACGTAACAGAAGAAAGACTAAAAATATGAAACTTATTTTCTCAGATTTTTGAAGACCTAAGAAATGTCTCACAAGTGCAGACTAGAAAAACAGATTGGGCCCCCACATCCAGTCCAGAATGAGCACAGCAGCAGGTACTCACACCTACCACCTGTGTGCCTGCTGGTCATGCTTATGGTGTGGGACCTGGTCAGGTCTTGAGACTTAGCTCTGCTGCTCTTCAAAGTACAGGGATAAAATACTTTTAATGCATAGGATTTGTCAGACATTCTCCTTAGAAGCTTGGGATTCAGTAGAGAGTCAAATAAACAAGTCCTGTTTTTGTGGAGATTCCCTCCTGGAGGGCTGGAGAATAGAGGGAACGGGAGACAGATAGTATGTGCATATTTGGTGCTTAAAATGCAGTGAGAAAAAATAAGCAGTGTTAGAGGACAAAAAGTGGTCTTTGGGAGTTGGTGTTGTCTCCGATAGGGTGGTCAGGGAAGGCTAGAGTGCCATTGATCAGAGGCCTGAAGGTGATAATAGAGCAAACCATGTTGGACATCTGCAGTTACAATTTTGTAAGTATCACTAGGATTTTTTTTTTTTTTTTACTATGAAAGTACATATTTATTTTAGATGATTTAGAAAATGAAGATGAGCCAAAAGAAGAAAAATAAGAACTCTTAGAACTGATCTTATTAATATTTTGATGTATCTCCTTGCTTTTTTAGTATTTGTTGCCATTGACTATGTTGCTCTTTCCAGGAAAGCTGGCCATTTTTTTTCTCAGCTGTTTTTCACTTGATGTAAACAGGGCATCTGTTTAAAATTTGCCAAAGGAAACACTGTAATTCTGAGTTGAGATAAAAGACAACAGTTTTGAATTCCATAAAATAATGAGGCTAAAGGAAAATTTTCTGACCTGATTTAATACAAACACACTTAAAGTTTTTAGGTTTTTTTTATAGTTTTTAGATTTTCAGCCAAGCATTAATTAGGTTTATAGTTAGTAGAGATTTTTTTTTTTAATATTTTATTTATTTATTTGACAGAGATCACAAGTAGGCAGAGAGGCAGGCAGAGAGAGAGGAGGAAGCAGGCTCCCTGCCGAGCAGAGAGCCCGATGCGGGGCTCGATCCCAGGACCCTGGGATCATGACCTGAGCAGAAGGCAGAGGCCTTAACCCACTGAGCCACCCAGGCGCCCCATTAGTAGAGATTTTTGAAAAGAACTTATAATGGATTTATTTTGTTTCTGTCCTTTTGATTTTAAAGTCCCTTTATTCCTTAGCTCTAAGAAGAGATCTTGATCTTACATGGGTCTCATTTCCATATTTTATGTATTATTTTCTTTTTGACCTTTAACCTTTGCTCTAGGCAAAGAAGAGTAAAACCAAAATGCCCTCTCTGGTAAAGAAGTGGCAGAGTATCCAACGTGAGTTAGATGAAGAGGAGAACTCTAGTTCTAGTGAAGAGGACCGGGAATCAACTGCACAGAAGCGAATCGAAGAGTGGAAGCAGCAGCAGCTGGTCAGGTAAAAAGAAACCACAAATGCGAGTGGGTTGGTGGTGGTTTTAGAGCAGTCGTCAAATTCTTTGAATCACAGCCCTTAATTTTTTTTTTTTTTTCAAACTTACCTAAAGGTTCATAATTCACAGTAATGTTTATTTCCCCGTAAAAATTATGATTTACCCTTTTTCAAAGTTAGAAATACAAAGTTTTAATACTTTATCCTACTGATTGTTCCTCTTAAGCAAAGGAGTATCTTTAACTCTGAGCATACCAGGAAAAACAGATATCCCCTTTACCAGGTAGACCCAGTAGACCCTTTTATAACTTTTAAAAAAATTATTTTACAATAATTAACAGAAGTTAAAAGGACGGGGACTGGGTCAGTCTGTGGAGAATGGGACTCTTGATCTGGGGGTTGGGATTTTGAGTTCAAGCCCCATGTTGGGTCACAGACCTTACTTTAAAAAAGACTTAAAAAGGGAAGGGGAGAAAACTTCATTAGAGATTCGGTAAGAAGTGAAACATAGCTAACCCAGGTATTTTTCTTTTTTTTTCTGGTTCTGAGGGTAGATAGAGTAAATAAACTGAGCAACATTCTTTGAATGCAACTAATCGTTCAGTTGTCATACATAACCTGGAATGTACTTATAAGTAGTCCTACCGTATTTCACATCCTTCTCAGTTAGGTTCTCTTATTACTTCTGGTTCTCCCACTTGCAACATCAATGAAAACATTTGGGAGAGGATCACCATCTTTTGTTTCATAATTCAAAACATTTTTACTTTTAGATACATAACTACCAATTGAAATGGTCATTGTAAGGAATTTTTTTGTTTCTTAAAATGTCCATTTATCCAATTATTATATACCTCCTTTTAGCACTTGTCTCCTTAGGAACCCTATGAAATAAATCATAGCATACAGCATAATAAAACCTGGAAGATTCTTGTTATATGTAATTTTAGGGAAATGAGATAGTCCTAGTTGTTCTGTTCTCTTTTCTCTCTCTCTCTCTCTTTTTTTTTTAGATTTTATTTATTTATTAGAGAGCAAGCAAGGGGAGTAGCAGGGAGAGGGAGAAGCAGTCTCCTGCTGAGCAAGGAGCCCGATGCGGGGCTCAGTCCCTGGACCCTGGGATCATGACATGGGCTAAAGACAGCTATTTGAATGGAGCCACCCAGGCCCCCTGATAGTGTTCCTTTTCATTCATTCATTCATTTTATTTTATTTGTTGTTGTCGTTCCTTTTTAGTGAGAATATTATATTTCCTTTTTGTTCTTAGAAATATACTGTTCACTCATCAATCTCAAATTTGAGAAAATTCTTCTAGGATATGGTCCTCTTAATATCCATAGTCTGAAATTTTACTTACCCGATAAATTTTACCATCATAATTAGAATGTCCAATGCCAATGTCTGTTTGTTTGCATTTATCTTCTGGTTTGTCTAATAATTGTGGGATGGGGGCACCTGGCTGGCTCGGTTGCTAGATCTTGGGATTGTGAGTTCAAGCCCCATGTTGGGCATAGAGCTTACTTAAAAAATAGTAATAATATGGGTGCCTGGGTGGCTCAGTGGGTTGCGCCTCTCTCTACCTTCAGCTCAGGTCATGATCTCAGGGTCCTGGGATTGAGCCCCACGTTGTGCTCTCTACTTGGTGGGGAGTCTGCTTCCCTCTTTCTCTCTGCCTGCCTCTCTGCCTACTTGTGATTTCTTTCTCAAATAAATAAAATCTTTTTATAAAAAAATAGTAATAATAATATTGGAGTGGAAGGAGACCGTGAAGATGTTGCCTCCAGACTTTACTCCCTTGAAAGGTTGTATACTCTTTGGGGCAACACAATAAGAAAACTAAGGGTGCACTTAGTGGCAGTTTATTGCACTTCTGCCTCATTCTTGTAGATGATTCCATTATTTCGTTTTCTTAATATTTTTTTGTCTTTTTTAGTATTGCTGGAAACTGAGTAATGATTAATTCCTATGATGAAATAGCAAACTTTCGAGATGTTAGGTGGGGAATCACAGAGATTCTGTATTTAGATTATTTTAGATTTATAAAAGGGTCCCAATGCATCCATTCTGGTTATTGTAAGAATAGAATCTGAGCTCAGGCTGTTTTGAAAATATTTGAGTAAGCCATGAGGTATCATTGCTTAAAAATAAAACTGTTCAAAAGAGAACTTCAGGGGCATCTGGGTGGCTCAGTGGGTTAAGCCTTTGCCTTTGGCTCAGGTCATGATCTCAGGGTCCTGGGATCAAGCCCTACATCAGGCTCTCTGCTCAGCAGCAAGCCTGCTCACCTCCCAGCCCCCGCCTGCCTCTCTGCCTACCTGTGATCTCTCTTTCTGTCAAATAAATAAAATTTTTTAAAAAGAGAGAGAACTTCAGGGACGCCTGGGTGGCTCAGTTGGTTAAGCGGCTGCCTTCGGCTCAGGTCATGATCCCAGCGTCCTGGGATCGAGTCCCACATCGGGCTCCTTGCTCCGCGGGGAGCCTGCTTCTCCCTCTGCCTCTGCCTGCCTCTCTGTCTGCCTGTGCTCGCTCACCCTCTCTCCCTCTGTCTCTGACAAATAAATAAATAAAAAATCTTTAAAAAAAAAAAAATAAAAAAAATAAAAAGAGAGAGAACTTCAAAAACCAAAGGTTTCTGACGATGAGTTGAGGGTTAAGATAACGTCTTTCCTAAAGAGTGGAACCTCTTCAGGGCCAAGATAAACTTTCACAAGAATTGTTGTCTTCCTTCAGTGTGGCTTTAATGGTTACAGGAGATAGATAAAAGTAAATACGCACTTACATGTTCATGAAACTGTAGAGAGAGTCTGTGTGTCTTTGATGCATCAGAATAAGAAATTTGATGAAGAGTATATTGGTACCTAGTTGAGAAACTTGAAGCATATTCATAAACAAAGATCAGAGTTTCAGTGTCACGTAATGGTTTTTGTGAACAGTTTCCTCCTTTTTCTTGCCAGTGAAGTAATCTGTATGTTGTTTTCACAGTGGCATGGCAGAGAGGAATGCTAATTTTGAAGCACTGCCTGAGGATTGGCGAGCAAGACTGAAGAGGAGGAAAATGGCTCCAAGCACATAGTTTTGTGGGCGGGGGGGAGTGGGTTTTTGTTTTTTTTTTTTTTATTACTGATCTTTTTCTTCTTCGTGTTCAGTTCAGAGTCTTCATCAGTTTTACTGTTGTCAATAAACTATAAATGTTAAGAGGGAGAGCATATGAATTTCCTGGGCAAAAGCATACACGTACAGTTTTCACATTTATGAAATGTAATGTTTCTGTTTTGCTGAAGGGTGACATTGACCGAATGCTTTGACATGGCTGCCTTTATTCTCACACTGGCAAGCTCATTGTGTCAGGTACATTAATCTCATCGATCTGGAACATGTGATTCAGGAGTATGATACCTCAGCAGAGCACTCGCTGACAAAAAGTGAAGGATTTTCTGTCTCATAGAGTCTCATTTAGTTCCTAGTGCGGCTCTCTCTCATTAACTTCTATCCAGAACAAGTGCAATTAAGAAGGCAGCTCTGTATTCTGTTTTGCTTAACTGGGATTATCCGAATCTCTGACCTCTTCTAGCCTGCCACCACTGAAGTGCTGAGGTATATCGAGGTGTTTCTCTTGTGCTGACAGACCGCCACACTCTCTAGAGATCTCTTTTTCAAAAATTCTAGAACTGGTAGCTCAGTCATTTCACGTACCAGTGGCGTTATTCAAATTTCAATACAGGCAGCAGCAGGTGTTCGTATCTTTAATTTTGAGGATTTCCCCCTCATATGTGTGGCAGTAAATGTAACAAGAGCCACTGTATGTATTAATGTGTCTCCATTGTCTCACCTTATTCCAAAATTTACCTCCCTTTTATGTGAATGTACTCTCCATAAAATTCCAGTATTTAAAAAGCAGTTTACTGTTCTGTACTTTCTATTGTATCACAATCAGGTAAAAGTCACTTTAAACTGAAGAAACGGCAAATTGTGTTTTAAAGCTGTTTGTATTTCTCCAGTTTCTGGCCTTGTAAATTTGTATATATGCTCTAATAAAGCTTTTTTTATACTTCTGATTGGTTATCCTTTTGCTGTTCTAAGGCTGTTATTTCATGATTGTGTAATCAAGACTTGTTTTAAGTCCAGTCTTAATTACTTTTTCTTCCAAATACAGCAGAAGGCATGTGTGAACACTCAAGAACAGCTCTCGGGAAAAAGAAGAGCCACAGGGTCTTGAGTCAGTGGGGTGAGAGTGGTGGTGGGGAAAGGGTGAGAAAACAGGGTTTTGGCACCAGAAGGTGCTAAGACTTGTATTTTGGAGCTTGTACTCTATAATATTAGCTAATGTTTGACCTAAAATCCTGGAAACGATGTTATGTGTTTTTGAAGATGGACTTTTCCCCTAATTATAAAGGTAATCTCTACTTTGGTTATGTTCATATAAAGCTAACCAAAGACAATAATTAATAGTTTGAATTTTATTCCAATCTATTTATATGCATGTAAGTGAGAAGTTTTACCTACTCCATGTCATGTATTTCTTTTACCATTATGCAGGTGTTGGGGTGACATTTTGTATACAAACTTGTAATTTGCGTAGAGCAAATTTGTAGAAATAAAGGCTACCAACTAGCAATTAAAGCTTTTGCTTTAACTATCTAGCAGTTTTCTAGACTTGTAGGAACTGCTGCAGATCACCAGTACCTTTGTCATTATCATCTTTTTTTGTTGTTGTTAACAGAGTGAGGGAAAGAACTTGAGTAAGGGAGAGGCAGTGGGAGAGGAAGAACCTGGCTCCTGGCTGAGCAGGGAGCCCAATGTGGGGCTCGATCCCAGGACCCTGGGATCATGACTGAGCGCCCAGGTGCCCCCATTTGTTACTATCTTAACAGAATGGAGCACTTTGATGTCTGACAATTTGATGGTCAAAATGTGTATTTTTCAAATCTATGGGGTGGTGAGATACAACTTTAAAGGAGAGGAGAAAAAGCTCCCTTTGAGCAACATCTGACAGTTAACCTAAAGCTAAGGAATAGCAAAGAGGTTTGGGATTTTTTTTAAGATTTATTTTTTACTTTTTTAAAGATTTTATTTATCAGAGCACAAGCAGGGGGAGCGGCAGGCAGAGGGAGAAGCAGTCTCCCGCCGAGCAAGAAACCCTGTTTGGGACTCAATCCCAGGACCTGAGCCAAAGGCAGACGCCTAACAACTGAACCACCCAAGAGTTCCAACATTGAGAGAGCACGAAAGGGAAGGGCAGAGGGAGAGAGAACACTGCACACTCGGGGAGCCTGAGCTAAGGCAGGGGTTGATCTTGCGACCTGAGCCCAAGCCAAGAAACAGATGCCTAAGGAAGTTCGGAATATTTTCATGGACTACTAACTCATTGTATTCACCAATCCAATTTCGATGCCCCAGAAGCGGGGCTGCAACATGACCTGAAAGGAACAATGCGTCTGAAAAACGGGTCTGGCCGCACTGGTGAACATTTCCCAAGATCACACCCAGGCGCCGGGGGCGGGGCCTCGCTCCCCGGAAGAGTCCCGCCGTCCTGCAGTCCGCTTCCGCCTCGAGGTTGCTAGGCTACCGGGACCCTAGCAGAAAGCTGTGGCGGGTGAGCGCCGGGAGCGTGTTCTCTGAGCGCTGCGAGGCTCGGCAGCGGTCCCTGCTGTGCGGTGGCCTCCCGCCTCGCTTAGGCTTCTCTGCTGCCGCAGGCGTCGCGCACACCCCTGTTGCCCCAGACGGGCCGGGGAGCGGAGGCGGTCGCACCCTCCCTTCTGCCCTCCGAGGAAATCTCTACACCTCCTCTCCGACTCTTTAGGGAAACCCCCTCACCACCTTCCCCGGCACCAGGAAGCCCTGAACCCCTGAATTCCATTTTCAGGGCCCGCTCTCCGGGCCCGTGACCTTTCTTTTTTTATCTACTCCGAGGTAACTCGGTCGGATCCCTCCATCCCCATTTCTTTCACGTTCCTTTCGCGTCCTGGTCGGGGTATCTCCCTCCTCCGAGAGGGAAGCATGGGAGCAGCAAGCGTCCCGGCGCCTCGGGAGGCGCAGACTGGAAGACAAGCCCCCCTCCCTCATTCCTCAGGTATGCCTCGGGCCCTCAAGAGTAGGAACCAGTAGCCCAGTGCTTGTACGTTTAAGAGGCTGGATTGGCTGAGACGGGGTTTCTTAAAGTCGCGTGAGAGCCGCGCAGGTGGAGGAGGGTGGGGTGAAATCGGCAGTTTTTTTTTCAGTTGTCCTGTTCTGGTTTTTTAGCTTCTGTGTAATCAGCTGCCCTTCTGGAAACTGGGCAGGGAGTGTGGCTGGATGCCGGTGTCCCTGACTTGTCTTCAGCATACCGTGCAGAAGTAACATGTTCCCAGCATTGGAAACAGAGCTAAAGCAGGAGGTCGGTACATCCCCCCTCTCCAGGAACTCCACAGAAATCCAATACTACTAGATCAGAAGGTATATTCTGGTGGCACCTTTTTCTAGCAGGAGATCTTGATCCCCAAGATAGAATAGTTTGCATGAATGTCTTTCAGTTGGTTTGTTTACAGAAGTCCTCACGAACTCAAGAACTGTTGTCCTTTGCAAAGATTTTTGTGTGCCTTTTGTTAAGAGTTCAGTATTCTTTGAAAGGACTTTCCTGATTGATTCGGCTTTTGTTTTCACAGACTCTTCCTGATCCCTATGAAGACTTTATGTACCATCATCTTCAATACTATGGCTATTTTAAAGGTAATAAATATCACATTCTTACCTAGCATCACCTTTCCTGCCTTCATGGACTAAATGGTTAGATTAACTGGAGAGTTACTCTCGGATAAATTAATGATGGCTCTTCTAGCACCAGAGAAAGATGAAGGGAAGTGAAAAGTACTTCATTATTGATCTGCTTTGTCACCTCTCTTGAGTGCCTGTGTATACAAGGGTCTGTCTATCCTTGTACCAATACCACCACCCTTTCTTAATTACACTATATGGCATTAAATAGTCTTGATAATCTGGAAAGACATGTCCTCCATCTGTCCTTCGGAAATATCTTCTCCATTCTTGCCTTTAACATGTAATTTCAGAATTAGCTTGTGATGTTTAAAAAATTGGAATTGCATTGAATCTACAGATCAAATTTCACAAGAAATGAGAGTTTTCCAATATTGGGTTCTGCAATCTCTTTTTTATTTTCATTGTGGGGCGTGTTCTGCAACCTATGAATATACTCTAGTTCTGCATTTACAAAGATCTTGCTTAATAGCTCCCAATAAAGATTTATAATTTTTTCGTGGAACTTCATATTATTATGTCACCGTAAATGGTATCTTTTTATATTCTTATTTTCTAACTTTGTTCCTGGTATTTAGAAATAAAATTAAGTCTCAGTATTGATTTTCTATCAACCTTATTAAATTTTCTTACTATTTCATTTTTAAAGTGATTGCTAATTTGTTGAAAATTGAATTTCCAGTTTGCCAGATTCAGCAGAGCCCTCAAGACAAAGTAGCTTTGGGCACCTTGCTCTTTCCACCCCACCATGCTGCTTCTCAAGTATCTCCTCACTGTAAAATGGAGAATATGTGCTTAACTCACGGAAGTTAGAATATGAAAGCTCTTTAGAAAATGGGATGTATTCTTTGTAAAGACCTGTGGTGGTGATGGGTAGTAACAGAAGTAGTGGCAGTTTTGGTAGTAGTAATGGTTTGGGTATTGACCTAGATGTTACAGGCGATGAAGTGGCCTTCCAGCACTTTTAATTACATTGTGTATTTGTAGCTCAGAGAGGCAGTTTACCAAACTCAGCCTCGCACCAGCATGTTTGGAAGAATAATCCTCGCTACCTGGTGAGTGGCTCTTTTGGGGAAAGAGAGGATGTGATACCAGACCCGCTGCAAAAGGAGAAGCTACTATGTGAGTAATGATCAGTGTGTATGAGCCCCAGAAACCTCAGTGCCTTGAGCCACTTCTTGGGGTATTCGGGAGAACATGGCCTAACACGGGGAAAGCCAGAGGAATAGCCTTGGCCAGTTTCTGACATCACTAAAAAATGTTATACCTAGGGGCGCCTGGGTAGCTCAGTGGGTTAAAGCCTCTGCCTTCAGCTCAGGTCATGATCCCAGGGTCCTGGGATCGA